TCCCTCCCCTCTACTCCCTCCTTCCTCCTCCCTCCGGGACAACATGAGCATCACCTCTCAAAGATCTCCCTGCTGTCGAAGAAACGATTCGGGTCCAAACTCTCCTCCTCCCTCCCCGCCTGCCATCACCCGCTCATGTTGGTTGTCCTCCAGCATTTGAGATCACAGCAGGTCCTCTCTTCACCTGTTCAGCTCCTTCCCCTCGTCGCCTCATCATATCGAACTCCGCCCTGTCTCTTCATCATCGGCTGATTCACCTCCTGCTCGTTCACCTCCAAGTCTCCAGCAGACTCTCTGCCTCCTCTCGTATCCTCTGCCCCCTGTCTTTGCACAACTTCTGTGCGCGCAAGTGAGACATGTATCAGAAGCATGAAGGAGTTACTCTGATCGTAGTGAACATGTTCTCATCGACCCTGCATTCATTTATCAGCTCTTCTCAAGCAAACAAGAACATCTCTCACAAGTTCCAAGTGAACTTGTGACGCCGCAGCTTTCGGAGCAGCTTTCTTGTCATGTCTGCATCACCAACCCTTCATAGCTCAGAACGTTAACATTACACCAGTCCACTTGTGTATCAGACCTCTTTGCTTCCATCAACTTCTTGTAAATGACCTGTATCTTCTGCTTGTCTGATTCAGCATCTGCACTCTTCAGTTTCTGCCGTCAAGCATGTCACAGGCGAGCATGTCAGTAAAGTTCAAGACATTTTCATAGGCCTTGCGCTTCTTCTCCTCCTCTTTCTTCTCCTCTTCCGGCACAAGTCAACTTTCGCTTGCACCGCAACCATCTTCACCTTTCTTCAACTGTCTTCTCCTCCTGCACATCAACATGTCAGACAGTCTACAGTTCAATCCTTCGCAACCTCACTCACATCTCAACTTCAGCGTCGGCAAGCTCTATCCATGCTTTCAAGAGAGATTTCGCGTCCTCGTACAATGTCTCTTCTTTTGAGAACCTCACTGGGAGAATTCTTTGCCCTGCTTCCTCGTTCTCGTCTTCGCTGGGTTGAGAGAGGATTCCTTTTCTTTGCACGATCGCTTTCAAAGTTTTCACCAGTCTGAGAGCAAGTTGTCAGATCGTGGTGAATTTCGATTCGTCACTTTCACGGCTCCTTTCCTCTCCTCTCCTCTCCTCTCCTCTCCTCTCCTCTCCTCTCCTCTCCTCTCCTCTCCTCTCCTCTCCTCTCCTCTCCTCTCCTCGCCTCCAACCCCTCTCCTCCCAACCACCCATCATACCTGTAACTGATCACTTCAGAACTTTCATACTCCAGCTCTTTCAGCACTTCGATCACCTTAATAGCAGCTCCTGTGTCCTGCGACTATGACAAGCGTGTGAGAGTGGTACAATAGCTGCTCCTTCCACCACCCTCTGCTGCTGCTGCTGCTGCTGCTGCTGCTGCTGCTGCTGCTGCTGCTGCTGCTGCTGCTGCTGCTGCTGCTGCTGCTGCTGCTGCTGCTGCTGCTGCTGCTGCTGCTGCTGCTGCTGCTGCTGCTGCTGCTGCTGCTGCTGCTGCTGCTGCTGCTGCTGCTGCTGCTGCTGCTGCTGCTGCTGCTGCTGCTGCTGCTGCTGCTGCTGCTGCTGCTGCTGCTGCTGCTGCTGCTGCTGCTGCTGCTGCACCGTCTCCTTCCGCTTCTCTCTGCTACTCTTCGTTGATGTACTGCTCTTCTCGTCATCACACTTCTGCCCTTCTCTGTTGTCCCTGCTTCAGCCCCTTGACTCATCTCATTTCATAGCAAACAGAAAATCCTCCTCATGATGATGTTGGATTACTTCGATGGCCTTGTCTAGCGACCTCCAGAACGGAATCGTCTCCTTCAGGCTTGTGATTTTATTTAGCCTCTGTGGACACAAGTCAACACCAACACAAGTAGCACAAACAGAATAACATCAGCCGATTGTCAACTCAAACCGACAATGACAGGAATGCATCAAGATCTATTCAACAACAAGGTCAACTGAGTTGTACCTTGAGCGAACCGGTTGTCTTGTCTACTGTGTATCCCTGCAGCGCGATCCGCTCGAAATCCTCATCCTTGAAATCTTCGTCGTCGTCCTGTACAGACCTCACAACTTTCCTCCTGCAGGACCAGCATAAGATCCTCGCACCTTCAAGTCCTTGGGTTTGGTGTGGTTCGGGTCAAGAGGCTCAGAGGAGTCGTAAGCGTCATCTGCCCCCTCCTTGGGCCGGTCCCACCTTTCCCAACATCACGACTTCATGCCGCTGGAACATAACTTGCATACCCTTTCTTCGTGCCGTCCTTGCGATTGATGTTGGGCAGATCGCCTGAGACGAGCGCTCTTGTGTGAGCAGACAGCATCCGAGATGAACAAGAAAGACGCAAAACAAGGAAAACAGGTGAAAACACTGACATAACATCGTGCTGATTCGAATGTGTGCAGGGTACGAGGAGATGATGAAACATGAAAGGTGAAGATTATGAAGAGGAGAACAATCAACAACAACATCGCAGCTGCATACCCTCTCGCTCTATCCCACGTGGCCCCGTCTCAGTAAAATCCGCCGGGGCCTGCATGACAAGGTGGTTTTAGAAGGAGCACTTCCTGCAGCCGCTACCTCCGGGTCGAACGCCAAGGGGTCCTCCGACGTCTCGGTCTCGTCGTCGAGCTGCTCCAAGAGTGAAGAGCTGAGGATCCAAGGCAGAAGAGGAAGATCGCACACCTCTCTTCTCAGATCGATCTTCTCGTCCTCTTTCGGGTCAAACTTCTCATCATTGAGATTCAACGCTTCCTCCTGCCCCACTGTGATCCCCCGTCTCAAGTCGCACAGATGACCTTCTTCTTCAGGAATCGCTTCCTTCTCAGCGTTTGCTGCTTCTGGTATGTCGTTAGCTTGCGTGCAGGTCGCTCGTCCATCTGCCACCAGCGATCCTCACTTCACTCAGGGCCTTACTTCTCCTCCTACCTCCTCTCTCTCCATCTTTCCCCTCCCCTTCGAGCCGCCGCGCAGGGTCAGCAGCCTCAAGCGCATTTCCTGTACCCCGAACGTCACACATCACAAAGTCCAGCAGGAAGCAGGACCAGCATCGCACACCCGCAGGCAGCCGGCGCATGGCGGGCTCGAACTGACCGACCTCCTGCCAGCGGAGACTGTCAGCGAGCGTTGGAGAGCAGCGGATCATGCTGGTAGGACCTGCCATGTCGCATCTGAGATTCGACCCCCCGTCCTCCCAGCCCATGAGCGCTCGCGGCGCCAACCCAGCATGAAGCAAGACAGCCACGAGGATCCGTCTGGTCGCCATGCCCCGCCGCTGTAAAAGAAAAAAAATATTAAAAAAAATGTCAGTGGTCTGAGAACCATGGCAGGGAGTGCGGAGAGAACGCGGAGGCAGTGTGAGGAGTTGCAGGTAAGGGAGGGGAGGGACTGGCGCTGGCGATGACATGCGAGGAAGAACGAGATCTCTCTGAGGAAGGAGGACGCCAAGCACTTGCATGCGCTCATCCAGAAAGCTCGCGCCAAGGAGGCTGAAGCTGTTCAGCTGGCCGAGGAGAGGGAGCAGAGGATCCTGGAGCTGAGAGAAAAAGTAGAGAAGTTCCGCAGGCGTGATGTGGACAGAGCAGCATATCTTGAAGAAACAAGATCACGACACTTGCAGGAAGTCATCATGCTTGAAAACGTGAGCAACATCGCAAATGCCTGTCAAGGACTTGATTTTGTATGGGTAGATCATAAAGGACCTGCAGGCAAAGCTGGACATTGAAGCGCAGCAAAGGAAGGATGTGGAGGTTCTGCACTCTTGTTCTGTACGAGTCTCTCGTCTTCTCTCACAACGTGACCAGAAGCGGTGTGCGAGGCTTGAATCAAGGCTCTACAATGCCAAGGCACCTGCGGCCATCACTATCGAGAAGCTCGCAAAGGTGTGTTTCAAACAACGTCAGGCGTTGGTGTAGCCTTGTGAATTGCCACTTATGCTCTGATAACAGGCGAGACATGCGCTAGAAATGACAGTAGAGAGCTTCTCTGAGAATCAAACGAACATGCAACAGCAGCTGGAGAAAATCAACCTCGCACACGTAGCTTTTTACAGCAACCTAGGTGAGGAAGGGAGATTCGACCCTGATGGAATAAGTGTGCAACAGCTCAAGGAAAAGCACCAGGGAGGCATGTCAGAAACGGAGGCCCAGCAAGTAGCTCAAGTCCCAGCCACGGGGGAATTGTCAAGAGAGGGTTTTGATTCGATTTGTTTGGAAAGGTTTCAAGGTCAAGTAAATGTACGTCATCAGAACAGGCTGAAAGCTCACACAACAATCCACAACCAGCAACCTCAGTTCCAATACCCCGAGAGTTTGGACTCCAAGTTCACCGATGAGTCCGCGTGGTCACCCCCCCCCCCTCGTTAAGCAAGAAAAGCTCAACATATCGATTGCCCAGGTGATGTCTATCTTTCTCGCGCACCTGGTGCACCAAAACGAGTCAAAACAACACAGACATAGGCGTGACTGAGCAACCACTCTCTTCGCCTCCTCCAATCGATTGAAAGAAACCCAAGCTTCCCCAGATGGGCGCCCATCCTGTGTCACGTTCACTCGAACGCGGTCACCCGAGTCAAACCCCATACCTGATTGTTGCCAAATCGTATGGAAGACTCGACTGCATTGTACCCCTTTAAGAACCCCATGACCTGGGGAAGAGTCATTGAAGCGATGAAGTATTCCAGGCATCACATCAAGCGATGTTGCCCCAAAAGGAAGCCCTCTGAGTTTGACTGTTGCAGGATATTTGCCATCCACCCCGGATGAACGTGAAGCAGCCTGTCAAAAAGTCAAACTCTCACGTGCGGTACCGATCACGCACCAAAGCTTTCGACTGAGTTTCCCAGCCCCTGGTTTCAGAGCGTTTGGCAGTTTCGCCTTGTTTCTTTAATGACTGCTCCGACTTGTTCCCCGAGACAGCAGAGGGTCCGATCGAAGCCTCTTGCTGCGATTCTGAAGTGCTTTGTTGCACTCCATTGCTTGTTGCCACAATAGGTGGCTTCCCCCCGGTGACTTTGTTGTTAGAACCTGAAGACAAAGATTGCTGCAGTTCTGGATTGTTCTCCCCCAAATTTAGTGAGTCCGAGAATGAGTCTGTCCATGACGAACCCCTTGTCTCTGAGTTGATCGGAGCTGCGGACGAAACAATCTTTGGACTTGACTGAAGACCTTTTGCCTCCAACCCTCCCAGCACCTTGTCCATCCGATGGTTTGGGAAGTCGTTTCTCAAGGGAGCCGAGGGCATCGACCCAACAATCCCTGGCACCGTAAGGCCTGAAGAAGCACCCTGTATCAAAGGAGAAAGAATCTGTTCAGCGACACTGGTATTTACATCCCTTTGGTTGTCCTCCGGTGAGCACGTGGGCAGAACGAAAGACAGGATCCTGGACTCCGAGAGAGGAGCTTCAACATGATCCTCAAGCTCCAAATCGTTCACAAGACCCGACCAAGTGTTGCCTGCTCCAGCTATTGGTGCAAGCGATGTTTGCTCTATTGGGGGTGTGGCCGACCAGTTTCCATTGCGCCCGTTCCCTCTCGTACTCCAATCCAGCGATGCCCAGGAGGGAGACATCTGTGAAACAGCAGCATTGGGAGGAAGCATTGGGCCCAGCGTTGAGAGCTCGTCGCCTCGTTCCATCCTACTCCCGTGCATGCCCCACTGAGGGGAGGCACCCTGCCATGGAAAGTGAGGAGGCGTCGGCTGAGCGCCATGGAGCGGCTGAGGAAGGGGTTGCTGTTGACTGCAAAGGATCTCATCCAGCAGAGTAAGAGCTTCCTCCCGCTGCTTCTCCTCAGGAAGCGCTATCAGGAGCTCCCGCAGCCGCCCCGCCGCCATTGCCGGGGCGGGGGTCCTCTGCTCAATAGCGTCAGGCTAGACCGGTGGATACCAAAGGATCTAGAAAGGACGGGTCCTCTAAAGCTAAGAGGATGCTTGAAGGGCAGCAAGGTTGCCCGTCCATGGTAGGGTGGATACCCCTACCCCCAATTTTCATCGAAGTTGATATCATTTGCACCGGTGTACATAGACAACAGGTGGGTCAAATCCTGGTGCTACAACTCCCGCCTCCACCCCACCCCCCCACACCTCCACCCCCTACCCCTATATGAGAACAGGTCCGATCAATCACGGCATGGCGCGCGGCGCCTATCAGCCCCCCCCCTCTCTACTGTCAGTCTTTCTCGATTGCTACCAATACCAGAAGTCAGGAGTCCTTTGCCCCTGGTACGCGCCCCCCCACGATCACCCCTGCATCGACTACCCTACCTATGCCATGCCGAAGAATTCAATCTCCGGTCCATGGCGGCTGTCGGATGATGCCTCACCCACCCGTGTTGCCCCCGGCAGGTCCTGTCGAGCTTGGGGGAACAGGGGGGTAGGGGGTGGTTGACCTGATCAGACCCAGGTCACTGGGCTCACTGAAAAGAATACAGTGTAGTAAAGGCCCGGCCGGCGCCGGGCCCGACCCGGGCGACCTGGCCAATTGAACCGATTCGAATCGAATCAAGTCGGAGGCTGAAGTAGTCAGAGCCGGTTGAATCAGTTGCATGACCATGGCCGAGCGGGGAGCGCGCCCCAAGTCAGCGACGATGGAGGTGAAGAGCCGAGGAGAGGAGAAGGGGGGGGCAGGTGGAGGGCGGCATGCTCGAATGCATCCCTTGGCCTCCCTCAAGACCATCCGTGAAGAGCTCCACAGGGACGGCCTCCTCATCCGCACACGAGGGGATGTAGCACAGGGTATGCTGCCACAGGCGGCCGTAGCAGAGAGACGGTTCGCTGTGCCCGTGAGGCAAGGCGGGGAGGGAGGAAGAGGATTGGTCGGGCTGCAAAATCTGGGCAACACCTGCTTCCTGAATGCATGCATACAGTGTCTCGCTGCTGTCCCGCCCTTCCGGGACTTCTTCCTCAGCAACCATCACATCTTTCGGCTCGACACGGGGAGCAGCATGCGAGGGACGCTCGCTCTCTCGTTCGGAGAGCTGCTGCACAAGATCTGGCAGGGCGAACCATACTCCTCGGTCTCAGCAGCGATCTTGAAGGACCGGGTTAGCAAGTTCGCCCCTCAGTTCACAGGGTGCAGGCAACATGACAGTCAGGAATTTCTTCGCTTCCTCCTCGACGGGCTCCACGAGGATCTCAAGACAAGCGACAACGATGAGATGCGGCAGTTCATGGAGGTCAGGATGGCTCATGACCAAGTCGCCTCCAAGTACAATGAGTCCATGCCGGCCATGGAGATGTATTGCCTTGACAACCTGAGCTGCGTGACGGCAGCGTTTGGGGGGCAGCTAGTCAGCCAGATCGAGTGCAGGACATGCAGTCATCAGTCCCGTTGCTACGATCCCTTTCTGGACATATCGCTCCCCATCCCCTCCCCCAGTCAGTTCAAGGAGGGGCAGGAGCAGGCGCATCGACCCCGCTGTCACCTTACAGACTGTTTCAACTTGTTCACCGAGAAAGAAGTGCTTGAAGGTCAGAGTAGTTCTATCGATCGCCATGCGCTGACTGTCTCTTCTATCGCCTGATCCCTACGTTTTGTTGTCGCAGGAGAAAACATGTACAGCTGCCCTAACTGCAACAGCAGAAGCTGTGCCACCAAGCAACTTAAGTTCGTCTCCCTCCCTCCTATCCTCGTCTTGCACATCAAGCGCTTCTCTTACACGGAAGTCTCCCGAGAGAAACTCGTCACATCGCTTGAGTTCCCGAAGGCAGGGCTCGACTTGTCTCCTTTCGCAGTGGAGACAGGATCAGGCGAGCGGGAATACCCTCCTATCTACGACCTGAAATCTGTTGCGCTCCATGTGGGAGGGATGGCGGGGGGGCACTACCATGCCCTTTGTCTCAACAGGTGAAAGCCTTGCTTTGACTTGCTTTGTCTTGCATTCCTCTGTCCCAACCTCACTCGCGGACGCTTGAATCCTTTGCCTCAGCCTGTAGTTTTTCCCCTTCCCTCTACCTTTCATTCCCACTTCACATCTCCATATTTGAGGTTGTATGGTGATCCATAATCTCAGCGAAAACAACTGCTGGTACGATTTCAATGACTCAAGAGTTTCTAAGACACTGATGGAACAAATGGTACATGAATGCATTCTTGCAAAAAAAGTTTTTTTAACCGAATGATAGGATCCTTCCGAGCCTTACATCTTCTTCTACCAACGGCGAGGTGTTGTGCTACCCTGGTGATTCAAACATCAGTTGGTGCTCGCTTATGGCCGGAGCCATTATTGTTTCGAACGTTCTTGTGTATATTAGTGAAATATTCTTTGAACCCTGTCAAGATGTGAAGTGGCGATCAACCCCGTTCACGATTTCTACAGTCAGCGTTTCAAGGTTTCGAGCCTGTACACGATTGGATCAGCTCCTCAAAGTCTGTCCGATCCCTTACAACATTCACACCTCCACCCCTCATGTTGGCTGGTGATCTTCCTCCCAGTATCGCATCGGAAGCTGCCCAACAGCATTCAATTCACGTGTCAACTGCCAGCGTTGAAACTCTACCACGAGCTCATGCTGACGCACTTGATCTGCAGCGTCAACCTGATCCTCGAGAGTCGACTTGACTTGAAGAATCCGTCACCGCGTCAACCTCCCCGTCACCTGACTCACCGTCCTCTGCAGAGGTCTCAACGTTTTCTGTGTACATGACGAAACTCCTGAGAGGCAACACTGTGAGCTGGCAGTGATGCCACGCCTCTCACTGCCTGGAGGAGATCTGCTCCATGACGGTCAGAGCTGTTCGCTGAATGTCCTGCACACGTAGTGAGAATGAAAGCGACATCTTGGTCTTCGGCATACTTGATTGTCGTAGGTCAGCAGCCGTTTCAGATGGGACAATGGACTGTTCTGCATCCCAGGTGACGTCTCAAGGCTTTTAATTCAAACAGTCTCACCTCATTGAGTCTATCCGCTGATTCATACAACTGATTTCCAACGAGAGTGAGAAGAAATTGAAGAGGAAGAAGAAGAAGAAGAGTGGAGAACACATCTCAGTTACCTTGTCGAATTTGATGATCAGGCTCGTCATGATCTCTGCTGCTGCTCGTCGAACTATCACTTGATCACTTGTCATTCTTGTGAAATAAGCATCAAAATCATCCTCGAGTCACACAAAGCAGGTCAACCTCTGCGCGACGTATCGGACAAGCTCGTGGTCTGTTGGGTTCGAGTACTCGATGACAGCTTGTACCATTTGGTTCCTAGAACGCATCACATCTCCCCCGCCCTCTTCGTCTTCACCTCAACTTTGCATCGGAGTCATCAAGCTTGTGCAAGAAGATCTCCATCTGATCACCGTCACTGCCTCCTCTCTCACTCCTCCTCCTCCACCAGTTGCGGAGGAAGCGACGCCTGTGCGTCTTTCCTTGACTTGGCCATGCTGAGCAGAGCCTGAGAGCCGATGAGCAGCAGAGGGGGATCGACGAGCGACCTGAATGACCACCAGTCGAACTTGCACAGACTCGTCGTAGAGCTTGCTCCCTAGCGCCAGCAGCACCTGCTCTACCTCAGCACCTCCCCCTCCCTTCCTCCCTCCTCCACCTCCGCATCGTCTGGTTCTGCCGCATGCTGTAAAGTTCGGATCGCATCCAATCTGGTGCGCCAAGAGGGATGATCGAGTCGTTTGAGTTGCGTCTCGACCACCTGCAGGAGGAGGATGAGAAGAGGAGGTAGAGGCAGGGAGGTCACCTTCAACCCGATGCTGATGAGCGATGCTTCTGCTAGTGACCTCAGGTTCTCGTTCTCTTCCTTGTCCGCTATGTCTTCCAGCAGAGCCATCACCTGCCATATCCTTGAGGACCATGCCGCCTCAACGGGTCTCTCCGACCTTCTCTTCGCGTTTCCGGGAGCGTTCACGCAGCAGGTAGATGGCATCTCTTTTCTCCTGCCATGACTGGCTCGTTCGCAGTCGCCTCATCAACTCTTCAACGCTCTCCTTGCCCTCCTGGTCCTTGCCCTCCCCCTCGCCCTCCTCTCCCCCCTCCCCACCTTCCTTCATCCCCTGTTCCTACCGCTCCCTCTAATTAGCTCCCAGTAGTATCCCCGCGGTTGCCCGACTCCTGAGGGATGGCAGAGGAGGTCATCCGGGCGCTGCGGGAGAAGCACGCGAAGCCGCAGCATGCTGGGAGCGAGCGAGGCGCCAAGACGACCCTCGGCATCATCCTCGAGGGCACCCGCGTCTCCATGGTCGTTCCTGCCAGCCCCGCGTATCGCCCGAGGAAGGGAAAGCGAGTGGAGCGAGACGACGAGATCGTCGAGATCGACGGGGCGGGAGTGAAGAAGGAGGTGGTGCTGAAGCAGCTGCGAGGAAGCGACGAGATCGGAACTCTCGTTGACGTCAAACTTCGACGCGCAGATCATGTCGAGAAAGTGACGCTCGTCCGCGCGTGCATGGAGCAAGTGATCGAACTGAAGGATCTCTTCCTTGCCATGGCTGAGTTGAAAGCGAATGCCGAGAGGAAAGCTCCTGACTTGAACGAGAACATCCGGTTGATATCCGTCGTTGAGAAACAACTCGCAAGGATCGATGATGTGCGAGAAGACACGGAGAATCGTCTGAGGTAACGTCAGCTTGTTCTCATTCCTTTCACACTTGCTGACAGGTCGCACATCGTCGACCTGGAGATCAGCTTCCGAGAAGCCACTGACAAGTTGCAAGAGTCTCTGAAGAGAGCAGAAGACAACTATCAAGAAGCCATGTCTACCAACGCAAAGTTGACCAAGGAGATGGTAAGGCTGAAAGAGACGACACAACAAGAGCTAGAGCTCTGTACGGCAGACAATCAGAGTCTTAAGAGTGAGATAATTCAGCTGCAAGCTCTAGTAGACCAGTTGTCTGATGGGTAAGACAACAACGAACAGCCTGCCTCCTGACTTGCCCGCAGATTGCAACAGAAAAGTGAGATGCAAGATAGCTTTATCCATGACATGCAGGAGCAAGGTAGTTGCTTGTAAACGAATGACGATGCCAGTGAGTGCGAGTGTTTCTTAGTTCTAGATGAGTTTCAGCAAATCGAAGAGCAGATCTCCAAGGTGGAAGAAGTCTTGTCGAAAACAGATCGGACCATAGAGCTTCTGAATGTTGAGGTTCGTCAACTGCAACAAAATGCCATCGAAGGCACACGGCTGCGGAGAAAACGTGAAGAAGAACTGGAAAGACGAGAAGAAGAACTGAAAAGTATGTCACAACAATTCAAAGACACGTTGGAGCAGCTCAAAAATGCTGAAGCATCGATCCAAGACAGGGAGGAGGAGGCGTCAAGGCTACAGGAAGCAATGAAAGACAAGGAGGAGGAGGCGTCAAGGCTACAGGAAGCAATGAAAGAAAAGGAGGAGGAGGCGTCAAGGCTACAGGAAGCAATGAAAGAAAAGGAGGAGGAGGCGTCAAGGCTACAGGAGGTGTTATTTGATGATATGAAACGGAATTTGACGGTCTTGATTGAAACTGCCAAGCACATGCGGAAGGATGCAGAGGAGATCAGGAAAGAAACGGAAGAGAGGAACGCCGAAGCAAGTCGATGGCGCACGCGAGCTGAATGGCTGCAGTCAGAGCACAGGGAGTTGACGAAGGAGCTTCAGGAGGCGCGGATAAATCTCAAGGCGATGGCAAACGAGTCAGCGCAGATGCAAGCAGAGCTGCGAGCAGAGATGGTGAGGATGAAAGAGACGCACGAGAAGGAGTTGAGGGAGTCTCTTGACCAACATGACAAGGACAAGCAGCAGCTCGTCTCGCAGCTTCGCTTCGACCTGCAAGGCATGGAGCGTGAGGCGTTTGAGGGCAGGAGGGTGAAGGAGGAGCTGGAAGAGATCATTCGACTGCGTGGGATAGAGCGGATAGAGCATAATTACCTGAAAGCCGAATATCATCGATGGTTCAAAGAAGTGAAGAAATGCAAGTCAGAGATCAGTCTTGCCTGTTCTGAGATCGACAAGCTGGCCCACGACACGATAAAGGAGAACAAGGTCAACGAAGAGAAAGAATTGACCTGAGTGACTTTGACCTGACAGAGAAGCGAGTCAGTGCTACAAGAACACTCGAACGCCTCCTCCAAGGTCAAGTTCTTGGAGAAGAAGATTTTTGAGCTGGAAACAGAGAAGAAGAGCAGAGAAGCTGTTTACGCCTATTTCGATGCTCCCGACATGCTGACTGTTCCACCAGCGTCTCTCCGTGAAGCCGCAGGGCCACTACTCCGATGACCGCTACATGCTCAAAGCTGCTCTTGACGCCAGCACAGAAGCGCTTGAAGAATGTCACAGTGAGGGGGAGGGGCAGCAATGACGAAGAGACTGACAGCCACTGTAAGCGTCCAACGTCCTCCTCTTCGAAGAATTGAAGCTCCTCAAATCACGGGTAACCTACCGACTGATTTCTCACTCCTCCTTTCTTCTTTCTCCTTATCACATACCATGTTTCTAAATCCTCTCCATCTCATTTGAAACCTCGCTCCTCTCTTCCCCTTGATCATCGATTGGTATCTCCTTCCTCTCGTCCCTCAGATCCTCAGGATACCTCTCTGTCTGTCTGTCTGTCTGTCTGTCTGTCTGTCTGTCTCTTCTCTCATTGCTGTTTTACCCTAATCAGCTCGGCACTGAAGTGAGCATTTCCTACGCCAAGCGCGCCCCATTGACAAGACATGTCGCCATGGAGGGATCATGGAGGCAGGAGACGAGTAAGTTTGGCGTCGTGACTGACTCGAGTGACAGGTGAGGAGCAAACAAGAAGTCAGAGATGGCACAAGAGACTTGGCAAGGTTTGATAAAGAGGAGAAGATAATAAACAAATAGGGAGGAAGAAGAATCTATTGGGGAGAGGGCGGCTTGGAAGGCTTGGACATGCTTTGAATGTACTCGGCGTATCTCAGTTGCTCTGTTCTCCTGATCATCTCAAGGATGTGGTCGGCTCCTCCCGGCATCTTGTTGGTCACGGACTCAAACGAGGCTGCCTCGTGCGAGGAAGGGGCTCCAAACCTCATAAGGCGTCAGCGGCAGCAAGCAGCCTCCCTCCCACTCACAGGATCTGCGACGAGCTCACAGAATCTCCTGAGGTTTCAGCGGGAGCTGCCTCGCTCGTCGTCTGGTTGACATGAGTTGGTACATGAGGGGCGTTGGCGGGGGGAGTTTGAGGAATGCTTGTTTTCTCTGCTGTGGCGTTTGATTGTGCTGGAGGAGCATACGGAGGCCGATACGCATTTTGTATGCCTGATAAGCAAAACTTGCATCAGATTCAACGACATGGCTCTTGATTGTACAAACTTTGATACGCAGCAACCGTGTTGCCCGTGTTTTGCTGCTTTGCCGGAGAAAATGGCATTGAGCCATACATTGGAGGGATGATCTGAACGTTCGACCTTATTTCTGAATGGACCGAGTTGATTTCAAACAAAGTGGTTCTCATCTCATGATGTAGCTCGCTGAACTCTGACAGAGGTCCTTTCTTGGTGTATTCATCCTTTATCTGCATCGCAACAATCCTCAGCTCAGCAAGGCGGCAGAGCATGCATCACCCGTCTCATGGACACCACTCCTCTACCGACAAGACTGCCCAGCCTGCGACACATGATAGGAAGATCTTTCTTGCCAAAGCTAGGAAGCAGTTAGCAAGGAAGTGTGGAAGGAACAAACAAGGTTTGGCATCACAATCAAAAAACGCAACAAACCCTCTTGCTCAAAGAGTAGGAGAAACATCTTAAGACATGTGTTGTTGCAATGAAACAGAGCAAGACTTGTGTCTTTGATCTTCAATCACATCTCATCCAACTTGCTCAAACTTACAGCATTGCTGAGGCCCCGAAGATCACAAAGATCTCGCCCCAACTAAACATGGCGGCACCTGCACTCCGTACTTCGACCTTGTCCGGCCCCCCTCAACATTTGACCTTATCTGAATATCAAGGCACTAAATTCTTATATAGTAGTATACCTTTGTCAATTTGAACTGTCCTTCTTGCTTCCCTTCCCCGAAAAGGAACTGCCTTCCCTGTCCTTCCCTGTCCTTCCCTGCCCTTCCCTTCCCTTCCCGTCCCAACCCCTCCCTCCCTTCCCCATCTCCTCCCGTCCCGTCCCGTCCCGTCCCTTCCCCCAAGCCCCCTCCCCTCCCTTCCCCTCCCTTTCCCATTCCATCCCATCCCATCCTTTCCCTTATCTTCCCTTCTCCACTTCCCTTCCCTTCCCACGTAGCCCATCTCCGCTGTTCTATCTTTGCCCTAAACCTTTTTCGCCCGCCCGTCGCTTTCGTCCCCCCCCATCCTTCCCGCGCTCCCAAGCCCCTCATCATTTTGCCTTTGCCCTCAATCTTACCGCTTGTCCAGATACAGCCACTTCTCCTTTCCTCTCTGCAACTTGAACTTGCGGTTTCCGAATACTCCTGCCCGCCTTGCCCCATCACTTCCCATCACTTCCACGCGTTGGCCCTGGCCTCTCATAGAGCTCTTCTCCTATTGTCACTGATCAAGTGCACTCTTCCCCATCTTGTCGCGCCCTTTTCTGCTTCAATTCCCTCCTCTCCTCCCCTCCTCTTCCCTACCTCACCTTCGCGTCATCATTCAAGCTCCTTCGCAAGGACGCAACAGTCGGACCCTGTAGAACAGCTGACTCGAGTTGTGCAGCATCAATCTTTGAGAGCCATCAGGTTGCCCAAACTTGGCAAGACCCGAAGAAACGATGTCTGGGTATCAGATTGCAGACGATGAAGAGAGCGATTACGTCAGGTAGGAAAAGCATCATCTTGACTTCTCCTTGGCCTGATCCGGTTTCTTACAGAGAAGGGCAATTTTCTGAGAGCAGCTTGAAGGACAAGCTGCTCGAAACGTTTCGCTCCGGCATGGGTAGCCATCCAAAGATCGTTTGCCTGACCATCTTTATCCTCCTAGTACTGATAAGTGAGGCGGCCCAAGAGGGGTTGAACATCTCTGACTCTTGTTTGTAGTCCACTGGTTTCTCGCGATCCTGCCGTCTCTCATCTTCTGGTTGATCCTCTTGTCTGGTCAGTGCGCATGAGCACGTCTTGTCTACTGAGAGCTCCCAATGTCCAGGAGGCTTGCTAGCCCTGAAGTACTCCGCCAACTATCTGCCTGACGTGATTCGCGAGAGAGTAAGACGGCTGCTGAACGAGACTCTTCGCTGATCACCCAGCAGATTCCCTGGATCGCCAACGACGCAACCTAGCCCCCCGATCTCCCCGACGAGCATTCATGTATAAAGTTCGCAATGGTCCTTCCGAGGAAACATTTTTTTAAGTTCGATCATGAAGATGAAGCTTTCACTCTTTCCCATGAGTCTCAGCATTGCAAGTTTCTCGGTACTTCATGCTCTACAGCTCAACCCTCCATGTCGGTCAGGCTCCCCCGCCCTGTGCATCCGAGGCGAGTGCAGTCTGCAGAGACTCTCTACAGGACTACCTCTTTCTCACGTCATACATGGGCGCTTCAAAGGTATGACATGGAGTGATCGGCAAGCCTTGGCTGTACTTTTTCGTAGTGTGTATAACTTACAATTTCTAAGTTTATATCTTACAAATAGACGGCATCGCCTCAGCAATTTCCTCCTTCTCTACGGAACTCCTACTTCAATAGGCCCCTCCTCCTGCATCAAGAACCACTCGATCCATCCCGCCTCCAGCGGACTCTCGTCCTCCTCCCACCCCCAGCCCTCCCCTTCTCTCCTGCTGGGACTCTGCCTTGACCCTTCCTCCGACCCCATCGACATCCCAGCCGATGACGGCGACGGCGACGGCGACGTGCGAGTCCTCGAGTACGGCCACCTGGTGATCCCCGCCCGTCTGCAGACGCTCTTCATGGCGGTGAGAGAGATGCCGAGGATCTTGGCGGCCTCGCTTTCCTTGTAGCAGAAGAGGGCTTGGAGGCGGGCAGGGTCGATTCTGATGCAGTTCTTGCGGATGGCTCGGGGCTTCTTGGCGATGACTTGAGCTGCTGTCTGCACAGGAAGCGACACAGACGAGAGATGATGGGTGGTCTGCACCACAGACATGGCGAGGAAAGGAAGCGAACACGGCCAGGAAAGGGAGGAGAGGCAGGAAGGGAGCGAGGGCTCCACGTAGATCAACTTGGATAGGACAGGAGGGACCGTACTACATCGCGAAGGAGAAAAGAGGAGATACGATCTCAAGGAGTGCGGAGGACGCCCCGTGAGGATATTCCGAGTTCCGGGCCGCACTGCCGTTGACTGTCATCTCCGATCTCAGTGGCATGCGCCTTCCTCCGAGCCCGGAAGGTCACATGGACGGTCCCCTGTGACCGGGCCGGGAGAGTCACGTTTAACTTAACTTTGGCACTGAGTAAACGATCGGAGCGGCCACCGCGACATCGCTGGCATGGCCGCGCGGGGGACTTGTCCTGCGCGCCGTTAAGTGAAGGTATTAGTTAAGTTTGGGGGACAGCAGTCGGCAGGATTAGGTTTGGTTCTCGCTGTCTTTTCTCTTCTCGCCGTTTGGCCTGTGCGACAGTGTCAGGGTCGAGCCTCCTCGACTCTCCTGATTGTCCTCGTACTGCTTTTTAACTAACTTTGAGTAAAGACGATCGGATTGATGATTTTTAACTTGTCGGATGAGACCCCGGTCGGATACGATATGCACTGCAAGTGCCGACGGTGCCCCGCCGGGGCCGGCACCGTGAGCGGCGCGGCCTCGGAGCTTGACTCGGATCCAACTTAGTTAAAGTTCCGCGGGCCGTGATTCAACCGGGACTTCAAATCATTCGGAATACTCGGTGACCGGGCGCAGTAGACCGCGGCCGTCGCACTGCGGCAGTTATGGAATTCCCGGCCGCGCGAATCAGGCTCAAAAACTTGTGATCGGACCATGGCAAGTCCGAGTCAGTGAAACCAAAATTCAATCATGGGCCAGCCTTACAACCCACCGTCACGGTCGTGGCAGTGGGCCATTTCAACCATGGCGACGGAGCACAAGTTTGTTAGACTTGTACTGTGCCAAAGTCACGCAGACATCACTGGTATCGACCTCAGTTGCAACCGTTGAACCGTGACTGAAGCCTGTGACAGTTTTTGCTCACGGCGGGCCGGCGACTAGCGGTCGGACCGTCTGAGTCACTGACCGTGTGCGCCTGATCCGTAACAGCGTCCGATCGCCGTGTTGAACGGTTCAAGCCATGTCACACGAGTCGGGCCGGACGGAGTGCCAGAGTGCCCCGCCGGGTATCCGATCCATGATCAGCCGTGAACGATACCGTAGTACTATCATATAGAATGCGCCGACAGCACTGAGCAACAGGTGGCCGGGCCGGTCTTGTTGCCTTGCCGTGTGCATAGTCACAGCAAGCCCAGCAACTCATCAATCACCGTCACTCAACGCGTCTAAAAACAAAATACATGAGCAAGAAATACAGCTCTGATCCCCATCAGTCATCCAATCAGTCAAGGTGGCTAAAGTTCTCAAGGTTGCTAAAGTTCTCATACACCGCACTTTTGCCGGAAGTTTCTTTGAATCAATCATTTACAAAGATTTCATTAATTAAAGGATAAGAAAGAAAGACCAAGGAATTGGCCGGTTACACTACAAATTGAATCACTCATTGATTCTTGTCGTATTGTCACCAGAATAGAGTGACATTGTTCAAAATCAATTCATATCAATACTATTTTACAACTGTACCATTCACCTTCCACATTGAAGAATTAGAAGACAGTCAAGTCTTCCAAATCGTCTTTTGATTGAATGTACCACTCGATCCATCCCGCCTCCAGCGGACTCTCGTCCTCCTCCCACCCCCAGCCCTCCCCTCCCCCCATGTCCGCCTCCGGGCTCCCGCATACACTAGTCTCGACACTGCTCGACCCTTCCTCCGGCCCCATCGACATCCCAGCCGATGACGGCGACGGCGAAGGAGATGATCCCGACGCTGATGCACTGTCCCCCGCCCCCGCGCGAGTCCTCGAGTACGGCCACCTGGTGATCCCCGCCCGTCTGCAGACGCTCTTCATGGCGGTGAGAGAGATGCCGAGGATCTTGGCGGCCTCGCTTTCCTTGTAGCAGAAGAGGGCTTGGAGGCGGGCAGGGTCGATTCTGATGCAGTTCTTGCGGATGGCTCGGGGCTTCTTGGTGATGACTTGAGCTGCTGTCTGCGCGCTCATGGCTGATTGTAATGTGTGTCTAAAGGATAAGCTTATTGGAGGAGAAGTGAAAGGAGATGATGAAGCAGGGTCGCTTCTAAGTCCTCGTGGTGTCACGATAGGAGGAGCGCAAGGGTGTGCAAGGGGGAGGCGGAGAGCGTTTTAGGTATGAAGGGGGAAGGGAAGGGGGAAGGGGGAAGTCAGCATTATCGTGTGGGGGTGATGGGTCCACGCGCCTGCTTCAGACCCGTGATTTACACTAACATTTCCAGTCAAATCTATGGGTTGGGTACTTCATTGACTGGAACCTTTCTGCTGCAGGGTGGGGTACATGTTGTAAAGATATCCCCTTAGGGTAGGGGTATTTAAGCACCCTATTTCTTCCTGTGCAAAGTACCGGTACAATCTAGTTTGCCTATCAAGAATAGGGACGGGTGGTATGGATACGACTGAAGTTTTTAATTTTAGATTTCTAAAAGTGTTTTTGCATTTAGAGCCCTCGATCCTTTTGTCTTCGAGTCATGACTTCCCCAACCACCCCTCCCTCAGCCTTGAGCTTGTGTACTTTTCACCGGTCCATTGACTGGCTGCCCCCATTAGCCCCATGCCAGCAATCTTTACTAGTCATCACGTATGCCTCGAAGTCGATTCCACCTCCAGTGCCCCGCCGTTCTTATATGTGGAGCCCTAGTACGACCCAAGATAGCAGAATGCATTGCTCTTGAAGGCAATTGACTTTACTTGGTGAAAAGTATTCTTTTGGATCTCTCATTACACCTCTTTGGACAAATCCGGAGATTTGTTGGTCTGAGCAACGTCCGAGATACGTCTATTCGCTCAAACGTTGCAATCTCTTGTATCTCATGAACTACCCCTTGGTATCAAAACTGTAGCTTGGGAGGGTACTCGAAAAATGTTTTAACCAAAAGTTCAATCGTTTTAATTTTGGGGGGTTGGCCCCCTTTCCTTCCGAAGTTCCGGACCCTACCCTACTAGGCTACGACTTTCTGACTGGTACGGCGCTCCGTTTACACACTGCTCCTCTGATCCACCCCACCCTGAATTGATCCGGTTTTTGTTTGTATTTTGCACCCGTGATCGTCAGAATTCGGACACGTCATGCAGTCAATTGAAGTCTTTTGACGGTACGGTACCGATCTTGGATTGCAGTACAGCTACGATCCTTTGAGCTCGCCTACGACTACGCGGTTTTGCTCCTGCGCAGTTTTATTAAGGTTTTAGGCAATTACGACCTCCGCGTAAAGCGGGAGGTTTGGCCGAGACGGATTGGGGTGGGGTGGTCAGACTGGTGAATTCGAAGGGTAGCATGCCGGTGGCGGAGCGGCCGCCTCCGTTTTGAGGAGCTGGGCGAGGCCACATGACCGCAAAGATATATGCCTATGTGGGTACGAAAACAGTTGGGAGCGAGGGGGCGGCAAAATCACACGGGGTCCATTGATATCCGGGGCTCCGGGTCAGCAATCACGATACGAAGTCTGTTGAGTAAAGTTCAGCCGTGACATGTTTGACTGTCTGTCAGTCTGCCTGTCAAATTTGCCGACACCTCCGAACGCTCCGAGAGGCGCATTCAGAGCAGAATCTTTACTACTCATCACAAGTTTGCCCGGCACAAGGGAGGGGGAACGGTCAGGACCTTGTGATTCCAGTTGGGCCTTCTTTACTCAAAGGTAAGTTAAAAATCAGTACGAGGAGAATCAGGAGAATATGAGGAATGAGACGCATACCGGAACGCACCCGCGATGATGGCAGCGAAGGACAGGGAGGCCTTGGGCTGACGAAAGATCTGGACCGGATGCGTTTGCAAGTCGGATCACCTGGGACATCTGGCAAAGTGGCCGAGAGACCATCCAGCGCTACGTTCACTGACTTGAGCTCCCAACATGTAGCTGCTCATTTTCCTCCAAGATGTCGCGAGAACTGGCTTTCAAGGGGAGAGCGGGATCATCTCTCCTTCAAGAAGCTGCCCAATCGAGACATGCTTCGACTCATGAAGTCAGAGACAACACCACTTGTTGGCATGCTCTTCCCATCCATGTTTTCTTGAACAACTTCTTTCAACATAACAACTCCGAGAGGAAAACCAGGCCTTAGCGTACCAAAATGTTAGGAAAACTTCCTACAAGTATCTCGCGATCCAGTGTTGACACACGAAGTGATCCCGTCAAGAAACCAAAGAGCAAGTGTGCGAAAGCAATGCACAGTCCAACGCTGCTTCTTATTTGACGTGAAAATATAAAGGAAAGAAAGCAATCTAAATTCTTAAGAAACTGTTGTATACACAACCTTGCGTAAGACGTTGAGCTCAGATGATCTTAGGATCTCTGTTTATTAAGCACACATCCTATTACCCTACGCTACGTCCAAGGGGCGTCCGGTATGAGTCCAAAATACAACAGAAACGATACTGCCTAGGATGTCTATTCAAGGAAGACCAAAGTCAGTGAACATATCCTATCACTTCAGACTGTTAGGACAATTTCTTTACTCGGAGACTCATTGAGGCTCGGCGCGCCTTCAAAGCCTTCACGTCATCGAGCTTCAAGGCCCTCTAGCAAGTAGAAGCCGAGTCGCAACATGACTGACGATCCCGTCCTATTCCAATTCACCCCCAGGTCAGTAGTGAATGGTCAGCCAGACAGCGTGTGCCGCTCTGCTTGAATGATGCGAAAATATGAGGAAATATGAGGATAGGGTCACCCACCACCGGCATCTTTGAGCAAAGTTTTTGAAGGCGACATACAATCTTGCCATGTCTCATGACCAAAATTACAAGCCTCAGAAATCTAGTTGGGTAAACGATTTTGAAGATTCATGCTTACTTCAGAAATATGACTGTGGCAACAGCTTGAACTGACATCTACATTCTCGTTCGTCCAATCAGGACGGTGAGCATTGACTCATGCCGGCATCTGTTTCCGGAAAATGTCTTCGATTTTCGTTTGGCTGAAACGGCAAGAGGTCGGTAGGGAGAGGGGAGCCGCAAAACGAAAGTGGAGCTTTCTTGTCTTTACACAGAAGTCTGTCAATCAAGATGTTTCAGGTCAGTCATCCGAACAGCTTCACTCTTGGCAAGGCTCAATGAAGGCTTCATAGTATCTACATCTGCCGACCGCTCCCAGGCTTCAGTGTCGCAATGACACAGGCTCCTACAAACTAACAACCAAAGTGGAAGTCAACAATCAGGGACAGCAACACGCTGACTCTGCGGTGGGAATGTCGGGTGATCCAACAATGACAATCATCAACGGGTGACGAGGTCAAGAATGTGGGTCTGTCAAGTACTGCCGCAAGTTGTGTCAGTCTCGTCGTCTTGCTCGACAAGACAAGTCCGCGATCGGACTCCGAGGCTCACTTCTCGAGATATGATTCCCTTCGTCACTACCAAACGTTTTACTCACATTCTCGTACTACTGCGATATTGTTTCTCTGGTAACTAAAACTCCTCGTACTGATGATGTTTGGCTCTCTGCGACCTCAAAAACCCACACCAGTCTCATGGCACCCCCACCTCTGCTTTTCACAGTTTTACCACCCACCCTCTACTTCATACTCCCGGCAGTCGGATCCTTTGCGACTGCTCGACTCTATAACAGGACGGAGAGACATCCAGTCGCAGACGCACGAGCACCTGCCGACCAGCCATGAGCGCGCAGACAGCAGCTCAAGTCATCGCCAAGAAGCCCCGAGCCATCCGCAAGAACTGCATCAGAATCGACCCTGCCCGCCTCCAAGCCCTCTTCTGCTACAAGGAAAGCGAGGCCGCCAAGATCCTCGGCATCTCTCTCACCGCCATGAAGAGCGTCTGCAGACGGGCGGGGATCACCAGGTGGCCGTACTCGAGGACTCGCACGTCTCCGTCGCCGTCGCCGTCATCGGCTGGGATGTCGATGGGGTCGGAGGAAGGGTCCAGGCAGAGTCCCAGCAGGAGAGAAGGGGAGGGCTGGGGGTGGGAGGACGACGAGAGTCCGCTGGAGGCGGGATGGATCGAGTGGTTCATGACCCACCACCAGGGGGGAGCTTAGTCCAACTGTTTGTGTATGGAGGAGCTCAAGAATCTTGGAGGAGAACTTCTCCGATTGCTATTTGTTTCACTGTGTTTTAGTCATGCTGATTACCTTTTTTGCTATGCTATTGTGTCTAGGTATTGATCCTTAATGTTTTGATTGCTCAGAGCGCTTTTTACTGTATGAAAATACAATTTGCAGCCACTAGCTCTCAACATCGTCTGATGAAAGCTTTGTTCATTAAATCGTCATCGACCATATGAGATTGGATCCTGCATATCAAACCAAATCATCGTCCTTCCTATAATTACTGACAAGGTCAGGGAGCTCGACAAGTGTTATGTTCCTTGTTAAATGAACACCTTCAGTGGGTGAGAAAGATATGAGAAATTCTTGTTGTAACGTTTCATATCAGCCATCCATTCTGAGACTCAGCGGCCTTCTGACCTGGCATACTCGCCTAGTAGCAATTTGTCCTGCCGTCCAAGAGTCGAGACTAGTATTATCTGTCTGTGATGCTCTCTCACAAACCGGTGGCAACAGGCTTGGACAGCCTCCGTTTGTTCTCAGCTGCAGGGCCAGTCACCGACCTGCTGCATCCGACTGATGTCCGATCTCACGGCGTCTCAGCCTGATGGGGGGCTCGGACCGTGACGGTGTGACTGAGCCTTGAATCTGTTTACTCACTGAGGCACAGGATGAGAATCTTGTCGGCCCGGCGATTCCGAAGTTCGGGCCGGCCGGCGGCCCGGCCGCGCCCGGTGGCTGGCAGGCCGCCCGCACTGATCGGACCGTACTACCTCAGGGCTACGACGGTAGGCCATGACGGTAGGCCCGACTCGGCAACTAGAGCACTGAGTGAGAGCGAGGAAGACTGCTGAGAGTGCGGGAGAAGAGAAGGGAACGATCGGAGAGCAGGATAGAAGATGCTAGAAAGAAATGAGAGGCGACTCGGATGTCAGAATGAACTCTGACAGAAAAAAGAAAACATGCTGAGTAGAAGTAAATTCTGAGAAGAAGACGAAGAAGAGACAAAAGAGGAGCAGGTGTGTTGTCACTTTCAACAAGTTGGCTCCCGCACTTAGTGACAGGTTCTCTCAAGGTAAATCTTGTTTCGGACGACAGAAGGCTAATGTTTCCTTCGTTAGGCCACCATCTCTTGAGGTTGATACATCGAGTCCTGAGGTTTTGCTTCAGAAATCAGAGGTTGAGACAGCGGAATTGACAACAACTTACTTCAGCACAGCTCAAATGTCAAAGATGTCCAGACGGCTGGCGGGGTTGCTGACCCTATTGTAAGAGCTCATGTCACACCATAACAGCTGACAAGCTCGCCTAGGGAGTACCTCAAGTGGAAGCTACAGTTTCCCTTTCGGCCTTGTGAGATGTACATGCGATCTGCTTGAGGAAGCATTCCTTTACTCACTTGCAACGGGGAAGGCAATGGCTGCATACCCTCTTGAGCCTCAAGTTTGCCTTGTATGCTCTGTTCTACGATGGGATAGGTACACGCATGCTCAACCCAGCATGCGGCGTACCATAGCAGTTGCTGTAGCTTTCACCTGCTCCTCCTCCTCCCCCCCCTCTTGCTGTTTCAGCGGGATTCTTTGCCTCTATAACAGTTTGATTTGTCTTGCTAGTGTATGGAGCAACCACTGCCTTGTGGTGTCTGTTGGTAGCAAAAGGCTTAGAGGGCGTCGGGAGAGCTAGAGGTACTTCCTTGCTCTAGTCCTCCTTCGCCTCAAACGTCACGTGGCAGTTGGAACATGGTCAAATGCATACTTCCTTCATCGGCTCAGCTTCACCATGGCATCGCTCTCGATGCAGAGCAGCTTGCTTGAACAAGTTCCGCAGCACAGGTACCAATTGCGATCTTGTCAAGCTTGTAACTCCAGCGCCGCAGCTTTTGGATCATGTACACTCTCTTTCTCTTGCTGCTTGCTTCGTTGGGGATGATGCTGCCCTACATGAGCATAATTACATACTACTCCTCCATCATCATGTAAGAAAGAGATGGCGGTTTCTTGCTCCTTTGACCGCAGCTCAACAGTTGGGAGCTTGCCGTGCTACCCTGTGTACAAGTGGTCTACGGAGACCTGTTCTTTTCTCTCTCTCCTCTCTCCTCGAACTTTCACTGGTAAGCGTTCATCTGAGTTCGCATCCTCGCTCTTCTTTAAGTGACTCCATCGCTCACTCAGGCCCTGGAGCATAGCCTTCCTGCTGTCGCTGACCGTCAGCTCCATCGACCCGTTCACTCTCAGACGGCGATCAGAGGACCTGAGGTTGAACGGAAGCCTCAGAGTCCCTTGGGACCCGGTCTTCTACTAGTCTTGCTCATCATCGCGAGCTTGCACAACAGTCCTAAAAGCTACTCGTTTATTCTTGCACATGCTCCTCCCCTCCTCTCATGCCGTCGCCTTCATCTTGGAATCCCTCAGGCTCACCAGCGACTCGGTAGCCTTGATGACTTCTTCGGCACACAAGAGGCCGCTCTTGGTTGCGCCCTCCATGGAGTCGATGTAGTCTTGGTACGTGTAGCTCCCGGAGAGGAAGAAGTTGGGGATCACAGTATTCTGAGCCGGTCGAAACTTGTCCATGCCGGGAGCCTCGCGGTAGAGCGACTGCAAGTGAAATGAGAGAGAGCAGGAGGAGGAGGAGGAGGAGGAGGAGGAGGAGGAGGAGGAGGAGGAGGAGGGGACAAGGAGAAAGAGGAGTGCAGGAGGAAGAAGAGAGCAGGAAGGAGAGAGGGGGAGGGGGAGGAGGAGGAGGGACGAAGAAGGAGGTGGTTTGAGTTTCAAGGGAAGGGGATTAACCTCTCGGAGCTTCACCACGTTGCTCCAGGTGCACTTGAGTCCCTGCTCACGCGCCGAGGGGAAGAGCTTGTACGCCTGCTCGCAGGTGATGCGAGCGACCTCCTCAGGGGGCATGCTCATGAAGCGATCAGCAGGAGTGAGGACGCACTGGAGAAGAGAGCCCTCTCCTTCCTTGTAGTATTCGGCAGGGGAGGTAAGGGCAAGATCAGCGAAGCAGGAGAACTCGACGTCGGCACTGTAGAGCAGATTGTCGATGCCCGGTGCCTTCCCATCGGAGAGGTCCTCGTTGATCTTCTTCATCGCCTCCTTGTCCTGCATCTCAGTGATCCAGCCGTCAAATCGCAGCTGAACGGTGGCGACTGGAACTCCCTCCAGTTTGTAGATCCTGTCGAACATGTCGTGCTTGCGGAAGCTCTCGGGAAGAAGCTTCTTGATCCCCGGCACGTCCTGCGCGCACACAACAACGTCGAAGTTCTTCTTGACAGGCTCCCCGCCATCCAGCGCCACCTCGATCCCCTTGACAAACGTCGGCTTTCCCTGCGCGTCAACCTCGTGCATAATGTCCTCTACGCGAGAGTTGAGGTTGAACTTCACTCCCCTCTCCTTGAGGTAGTCCACGATGGGCCCGCTGATGAACGTGTTGGGCGAGCCCTCGCACATGCGCAGCACGGAGGCTTCGGACCGGACGGCGAAGAGCTGGAAGATGGTGAGCATGCAGCGAGCGGAGATGTTGTCACAGTCGATGAAGCCGAGCGCGTACGCGATCGGGTCCCACATCCTCTTGATGCTCCCGCGCGACCCCCCAAGCCGGAGGAACCACTCGGAGAAGGAGATGTCGTCCAGTGATCGCACCATGTCCATCCCGCCATCGAAGTCGACCAGCGCCCGCACGATCGGCGACGTGCCCAGCCTGACCGCGTTCATGAGCTTGTCGTAGAGGCCGAGCTGCTCGGTGGTAGCGAAGGCCTTGAGCCCATTGAAGGGAGCGCCGATGCCTCCCATACGGAAGTCGAGCTCTCCCGTCCATCCTCCCTCGTTGACGAAGATGTGTCGATGCTCCTTGAGGCGCAGCGACTTGTCAAACGTGCCCACGCGCTGGAGGATACCAAACAAGTTGTAGTAGCAGCCGAAGAACACGTGGAGCCCCATCTCGATGTGGTTCCCGTCCTTGTCCACCCAGCTCCCTACCTTCCCTCCAACGAAGTTACGAGCCTCGAAGATCTCGACCTCGTGCCCGGCATCCACCAGATCCATCGCTGTGACCATCCCGGCAAGACCGGAGCCGACTATCCCGATCTTAAGCTTCTTCTCCTCGGGGAAACGGACTGAAGGTCCCTGAAACGCCTTCTGCATGAGACGATCGTTGAGGAGTCCAGAGGTGTCGCTTCCCAGCACTGAATCTCCGACCTTGCGCTCTCCTACCACCCCAACTTTGTTCTGTGCACGGAGGGCAATGGCACCACGCTTGCTCACTACAGGAGCTCTGCTCCTTCCAGCCCCGGCCGAGACGGAGATCGAGCGAGGAGAGGTGAGGAAGGAGGAGCCTGCCAGAGGAGAGCTCGGCATGAAGCCATAGCTCGGCACTGTCAGCGCGCATGCCGCTACTGCTGCTACCGCCGCCTTCAGCATGGTGGGGGCCGCTTCCCTTTAGACCCTCTACCCTACCCTTTACCCCCACCCCCCCAATCCCTATGGATATGACCCCCATCCCCGCACATGCCATAGGACGATTGGCCCGATTGCTGGTCCGACACTGGAATGAGAGCAGGGCAAGGAAGAGAGGGGAAGGGGGAGAGGAGGGGAGAGGAAGGGAGGAGGAAACATCAATCAGCGACGAAGAAAACAAGGACATAACATCTTTCAACAAGGCCTGAGAGTGGATGTAAGGCTCACTTCATGATTGAAACCAAGACCTTCCCAACACAGAGGCGTGTGTGAGATGTCAGAATCTGAGCCACTTGCTGTAAACCAAACCGAAGAAGAGCTTGAGGGGGTCGTTGTTTCGCTTCGAAAGTCGAGCAGGAAAATGTGTTTTGCAACCTTATGCTCGAAATCTCTACAAGTGACATCAAGGGAACGTACAGAAGACTTCGGAGAAAAGGAAAGCCTTGACGGCAAGTGTCAGCTGTTGCTGTATCATGACGAAGGATGGAAGCAGATGGTGCAAGGAGACTTCTCCCTGTGCTGTGGAGCTGTTGTTCACTGCAGCGGGGTCTTTGAATCTCAGGAGCAGGACAGGATGAAAAAGGAGCCAAGGCTACGAAGCATGCTCGTACGTCGGCTGAGAGTTGTGGATTCTCCACACAGAGAGATGAGCGAGAGCGGGGGGGTGCGGCAGCATCCTCTGGTGGAGAGGATAGCTCGTGAAGGGCACGTGCGCTCTTGTGATGTTCAGCCTCTCTGCAAGCAGGTACCTCCTGCGCTTGTTCCGTCTCATGTCTGAGATGCTCGCAAGTGGTGGAGGGGAGCGTGTAAGGACGACGGCACGTGCTCGAGGAGACATTTCTTCCTTGATGAAGCCGAGCAGGGCAAGTACGACGGTGAGTGCTGGACTCCTGTAGCAGCAGCGAGTAACAGGCTGGCAGCATTGAAGAACAAGTCTGAGAGCATGAGGACAATAGAGAGTTTGATCAATGCCGACGATCCTTTCCTTCACGCTGACAAGGCGTCCCGATCCAAGTCTGACGCTCTCTTCGTGGATTGGCTGGTAGAGCATGTGGATGGAGTTCCGCTGTGTGGGTGCTGACGACGGAGCAGGTGGGCACGTTCGGAGAGGAGGAGCTGAGGAGAGGAGTGGTGGATGTGGCAGGGGGGAAGGGAGAGCTCAGCTTCTTTCTGCTGCATCGCCATGGCGTTGGAAGTTGTATCGTTGACCCCCGGCCTGTTCGTCTTACCAAAAGTGAGATGGGGGCGAATTGTGTGCGATTGATATGATGATTGAGATGATGAGGATTATAGAGGAGGAGGAGGAGGAGGAGGAGGAGGAGGAGGAGGAGGAGGAGGAGGAGGAGGAGGAGGAGGAGGAGGAGGAGGAGGAGGAGGAGGAGGAGGAGGAGGAGGAGGAGGAGGAGGAGGAGGAGGAGGAGGAGGAGTCGAGGAGAGGTGGTGGTGGAGGAGGAGGAGGAGGAGGTGGTGGTGGTGGTGGAGGAGGAGGAGGAGGAGAAGGAGGAGGAGGAGGAAGTCACCTTCCTTCCTTCTGATTGCTGCCTTCTGAGGTATTCGAGGGTGGAGTGAATGCCTTTGAACAGAGCCTGAGAAATCCACGAGTTATCAGATTCACTGTCAAGCTCAAGTCAAAGTCTTCCTTTGTCATTCCCTCTGACAGGTTTGCGTTCCTTGCAAGGCCAAGAACTTGAAGGCTCGTCAGCTCGCCGATCTCAGGGGGCACGGACGACAGCTGATTGCCGCAAACGTCCAGGGCCTCCAGGTTGGTGGCCTGCAAGTCACTTGAGGCAAGACGAGACGATGATCGGGTACCTTGAGCCAGCAGTTGGAGGGGAGGGAAGTCAACAGGTTGTCCGATAGATGCAGCTCCGTCAGCTCAGGGAGGAGGACGATGTCTCTCTTGAGCTGTGAGATACGATTGCCGTTCGCCCTGAGGAACTTCAGGTCCTGCGGTGATGACGCGTCATCCCCCTAGCGCAAGAGGCAGACTGACCACCTGCATGAACGCGAGGGTGAGAGGTAGCTGGTCGAGGCGGTTCGAAGACAGGGAGAGGTCAGACATGCTGGTAAGGCAAGCGAGAGACTCGTCAGGGAGGGAGGGGAGGAGGTTCCTCGACACGTCAAGGATTCTCAGCTCGTCCAGCTGAGATATCGAGCTGGGAATGCTCGTCAACCTGTTCATGGAGGCGTCAAGCCGCGTCAGGCTGCGCAGGTTCCCCAGCTCGGGGGGCAGCAGGGAGATCTGGTTGCTGTTGATCCTGAGGTCTTCGAGAGCGATGCAGTTGCAGACTTCAGGAGGGAGAGAGACGATGAAGTTGTGATCCAAGAACAGTGACTTGAGAGTTCTCTCGCACGTGAGCACCAGCACGTTGGGGATCACAGTCAGTTTGTTCCTCGACAAGTCCATCAGAGACAACTGCGAGATCTCGAACGCCATTGGCGGTACGCTCGTCAGCCCGCATGCTCGTAGCCTCAGCTGACCATTGCGAACCTGCAGCCTTGCCTCGAGGGCTGTTTCCTGATTGAGAAAGTTGAAGAAGGCGCTCATGGTCTGATCACCAAAGGCAAGCTTGAGGTTTCACAGGGGTATGTGAACGCGCGATGCTGGTCCTTCAACATGCCTGACAGGGGGGGACTTGGGCTGTATTCGTTCAAGTCCTTGAGGTATCAACATCCATCCTCTCTTCCTTGCTCGTCCTCGTGCTCGTCCTCGTCCCCTGCTCCTTGCTTCCATCATGGCATCACCGGCAACGGACCAACATGACGGTTATGCGAGTAACGCTCTTTCATCATTACCCCCTTTTTTTCCAAAAACATTTAGGGGTAGGGTGATCCTTTTCCCCAACAGGACGTACCCGTACTCTGACAATTGTCTCGGTGAGGTGGTAGGGGGTGGTTCAATATTCATTGTAGGGGTGTTTGCCTAGCAAATGAAGGGGGTGGGGTCGGGTGGGGTGGGCGTGCGTGGCATAGGCGGCCATGGAGAAGCAAGAAATGCTGTTCGCGAAGCTGAAGGAACTCGGTGAGGAGGAGGAGGAGGAGGAGGAGGAGGAGGAGGAGGAGGAGGAGGAGGAGGATCATATCGAAGAGTAGGAGGAGAGAAGAGGACGGTAGGAGGAGATGTTTCTGAGAGAACCATCATGCTGTCGTTGAGTCAAGGGAAAATATGAAAGAGATTACGTGGGGCTAGGTAGACAACAGATACTGCTCTGTGACGAGAAGTGCTCTATACAACAGTGCGCAACTGATTGTGTGAGGAATGATATTTTTCACTTGTCTTTTATGAAACGTCATCGTGAACAGAAAGTAGATTGATCGCAGATTGTTTCTGAAGAAGAGACGTGCATTTGAGTTGTGACTTTGGAAAAACGAGCAGTACCTGTAGGTGTTGTTAATACACCATGCGTGTCGATGTTTATGGCCAGAGAAATTTTGTGAAATATTAGAATGAAATATCTTAGTCTTGCCGTTTTGGCAGCAATAACAATCGTTTTCTGATCACGAGAAACAACTTTTTGACGGTGGTGGCCTCCTCAGGCATTCCTACAGTGACCAAAGAACACAAGCAATGCTTTACAGCAGAAGATGTTGAGAGGTACTTCTTCTCTCTGCCTCTTCTCCTCATCGTCTCCTCTCCTCTTCTCCTCTTCTCTTCTCCTCTCTGATCCCCTGCGACGTTCTGACGTCGTGATAGTGTTGCTGAAGAGTGCGGACTTCAGCCGGCCTCTGGACGCTGCAAGAACATGTTCCTCAAGGTGAGAAACAACTTTTGCTGTGCTTCATGGAGAGTGAGCTTGAGTAGAGCAAGAAAGGAGATCTGTTCTGCTTCACCACTCAATCGGCATCCAAGGTGAGCAGCGGGTCGGAGTTGTTTGTTGGTGATAACAGTACGATCAGATCGACATGAAGCTCTTGTCCAAGAAGCTCGGAGCTCCCGAGTGCCGTTTTGCTGGTCTGTTTCGGAGTCTACGTATGTAAGTGATCTGATGAGAGATGGCGGCAGGCGACGAGTACTTGGCGAGTGTCCTCCAAGTTATCAAGGGCTCGGTGAGCCTGGCGGGTCGTGCGATAGGGAGACTGAAGGTGTTTGACAGGTCACGCCCTTTGCAGCGATCAACGACACAGAGAACAAGTGCACGTTTGCGATCGACAAGGATCTCATGAAGGAGCAGACACTGTGGCTACATCCCCTCCACAACGATAAGAGCACCTCCATCTCCGCCGACAACCTTGTCAAGTTCCTTGAAGCCGTTGGCCACCCTCCCAAGATCCTTGACTTCAGCGATGCTGAAGCCTCGTCGTCGGATGCAGCGGCGAAGCCGAAGCAGGCGGGAGGAGCGGACAAGAAGGCTGCCAAGGGTGAGGGCCAGAAGGATGTTCAGAAGGAGACCCTCCTGTCCATCACTGCCAAGAAGGAGGAGGACTTTGCCAACTGGTACTCGGAGGTGATCACAAGGAGTGACATGATCGACTACTACGACATCTCCGGCTGCTACATCCTGAAGCCCTGGTCCTTCTCCATCTGGGAGCAGATCCAGACCTTTCTCGACGGGGAGATCAAGAAGCTGGGCGTGCAGGGCTGCTATTTCCCCATGTTCGTTTCTCAGAAGGCTCTAGAGGCCGAGAAGGATCACATCGAGGGGTTCTCCCCCGAGGTCGCCTGGGTCACCAAGTCAGGTCAGTCCGAGCTGGAGAATCCTATCGCCGTCCGCCCCACTTCTGAGACCATCATGTACCCTGCCTTTGCCAAGTGGATCCGGTCGCATCGTGACCTGCCCCTGAAGCTCAACCAGTGGTGCAACGTCGTGCGCTGGGAGTTCAAGAACCCCACCCCCTTCATCCGCACCCGCGAGTTCCTCTGGCAGGAGGGTCACACCGCTCACTCGTCCCTCGAGTCCGCAGCGACGGAGGTGCTGGACATCCTCGACCTCTACCGCCGCGTGTACGAGGAGCTGCTGGCTGTTCCTGTGGTGAAGGGGAAAAAGACAGAGACAGAGAAGTTTGCGGGAGGTTTCTACACCACCACCGTCGAGGCCTTCATCCCCGCCACTGCCCGTGGTATCCAGGGGGCCACGTCGCACAACCTCGGGCAGAACTTCGGGAAGATGTTCAAGATCGAGTACGAGGACGAGAAGGGCTCCAAGCAGATCCCCTGGCAGAACTCGTGGGGCATGACGACCCGCACAATCGGTGTGATGGTGATGATCCATGCCGACAACCAAGGCCTCGTCCTCCCTCCCCGCGTCGCTCCCGTCCAGGTCATCGTCATCCCCGTCGTCTACAAGGACTCGGCGGCTGAGCTGAACAGCAAGGCGGAGGAGCTGGTGGAGTCGCTGAGAGCCGCCGGCATCCGCGTGGACATCGACACGCGCTCCAACTACACGGCGGGATGGAAGTACAACCACTGGGAGCAGAAGGGAGTTCCCATCCGCCTCGAGCTGGGCCCCAAGGACCTCGAGAAGAAGCAGGTGAGGATGGTCCGCCGCCTTGACAACAGCAAGGAGGATGTGCCGCTGTCTGTCATCGTCCCCAAGCTCAAGCTCGAGCTCGAGCTGATTCAGCACAAGATGCTCCAGCGAGCCAAGGACGAGCACAGCACGCGCACTCGCACGGTGATGAAGTGGGAGGAGTTCGTGCCAGCTCTCGACGCGGGATGCATGGCACTTACTCCGTTCTGCGACGAGGCTGAGTGGGAGGAGACGGCCAAGAAGCGATCCAAGGAGGAGAAGCTCTCGGCGGGAGAGACGGAGGATGAGAGGACGGCTGTCAGCGCCGCTGCCAAGACCCTCTGCATCCCCTTCGACCAGCCTGACCTCCCTGCAGGGACCCCCTGCTTCATCTCTGGCAAGCCAGCTAAGTGCTGGGTGCTGTGGGGCAGGACGTACTAGAGGAGAGCAAGAGAGTAGCGGTCCTTTGTCTTGCAAGCGATGTGAGTTTGTTGTAAACAAGCATTCAAGCATCTCGCTGTACTATGTCGACCCCTCAACCTTCACGATCGGGATTACCCGATTTAGAATCGAGTGCTGTGGGTCGAGCTCTTTGCCATCCATCTTCTTCCTGTCCGCGCAGAGCTCGGAAAATATTTTGGAGCGCTCGGGGAACAGTCCGCACGCTCTGCCCTGCTGGTCTTAGACCTTGTCTTGGCCGGTGAGCATCTAAGGTTCGAAGGTACTGTAAGAAGACTAAGTCTCATGTCACAAGAGGTTTCATCAGCGTTTCTGAACATCTCAGCGTCGATACAACAACTTGCCGTCTGATGCAGAGACTGCTATTACCAATAGGCATGAAGAGCCTTGAGTGTAAGAGTCTCAGACATGAGGCAGGGCCAATCTGTTTGCAAACCTTGGGCAATGCTGACTAGTTTCATTCATCATCCTGTCAAGAGCACACATCTCATCTCCTTGTAGTCTAACAAGCTGCATCTTGTCTATGCCACCTCCCGCTTGATGAACACCGGAGCCTCCACCTGATCGAACAGCGGGATCATTCCATTGCGGGTTGCTGTCATGTTCGACCGGGTGAAGTTGAGGGAAGTGTGCTGTTGCGCCCCTCCATCATGATGGATATGAAAATGATACTTCCTCTCGGAGTGGGAAAGAAACTCGTCGGGCTGTTTCGTCCATTGCTCGTAGCGATCAATGAAGAAGCCACAGCTGACAGCTCTGTCTCCTTCCTGATGGTGATCTTGTTCGTGATGGTGGTGATGGTGAAGATGGTGTGGGTGATGATGATGGTGTTGATCTTGCTGATCGTGTTGGTGGTGATTTTGGTGATGGTGGTGATCATGTTGGCCGTGGTTATGGTGTTGACGGTGATGTTCATGTTGGCATTGGTGTTGATCTTGATGGTGTTTGTCGTGATCTTGGTGTCGATGTTTATTTTGTCGATGTTCATCTTGGAGACGATTTTGATGGTGATCTTGATGACGATGATCTTGATGGTGATGATGTCCGTGGTTATGGTGCTGTTTGTCGGGTTCTGAACTGTCCTGGTTGTAACGACCAACATGTTCATCCTCCATGGCGCATGATCCGATCAAACGACACATGACTTTCTCAGCAAATGTGACGGTATCAGGGCGACCTGAGATGAGGGAGAAGGAGTTTGGGTCTGGATGCTCCATAGCGGGAAGATTGGTGACTTCTTGGAATGCAACACGACCAGGGTCGTATGACAGAGGTATGATCAGGAGGGGGGGGGGGGGGGAGGAAACGAGAGACAAAAAAAGCTGAGGGGCCCGTGGGGGAAAAGGGGGGATGGAAGATAGTGGCCGATGGGAGGCCTCCTCGGTCTCTGCCGCTTGAGGAGGAGGAGGTTGAGGAGGGGAGGGAGGAAGAGTCGAGGATGACTCGGAGGGGCCGTTATGGTACCACAATGGTACAATAAGTACCATCATTAGTACCACGTTATTAGTACCATTAGCCCCGACAGGTATCAGCTGACTTCAATAGCTCAGACTTAAGTCAACTTCTAAGTGACTCCTCAGTCCTCTGCTTTCTGACTGAGTCAGTCACGCCAAGTTCCCATCTGACCCTCAGCCGGCCCGCCGGGCGATTATGACCGGCCGGGCAGTGGCCGCTCTTCAGTCCGGGCAGCCGACATGCGGTCACTGTCCGATACCACGTCACGCATACCTGAACGCACTCGGTACCGTCACGCATACCGTACATGAACGCACCCGCGATGATGGCAGCGAAGAACAGGGAGGCCTTGGGCTGACGAAAGATCTGGACCGGATGCGTTTGCAAGTCGGATCACCTGAGACGTCTGGCAAAGTGGCCGAGAGACCATCCAGCGCTGCCGTTTCCTTCAACGGTTCGCCGAGCGATCCGCCAGCCACCACAGAAAGTTCACAGCATCTGATCCTTCGCCCTGGTCTGGGCCTCACTCATGCCGTACCATGACAGTCTCTCTTTACTGGCCTCCCAGTGCTGGATGATGCGGTACGGTTGCACTAAAACACCGTGAAAACGTTCCTGAGATTCTCACACGGCGATCGGCAGCGATCCGACGGGAGTGGAAGATCTTTTTCGGCCGGAGCTCATCGAAGGCTGAGGGTCCCCTGGAGGGACCGTCGGACCGTCTGGTCGGCCTCAGGGACTGACGCGCGGCCGGGAGTGACGGCGGTGGCAATGAGTGAACCGTTTCAGGTATCAGTTGTCGGAGTTTGCGAGACACAAGCAGAGTCGGCCCGGAGGATTCGGAATGCTGTCTGATCCCCCAGCGATGGGCAGGTGAAGAGCTTTGAGTCTGAGAGTATATTGTTTATCGGGAATCTGTGCGACTCTAGTTTCACCATCTTGTGAAGAGCACAAACATCTGATGTCTGTCGTTGAAGGATCCGGCGACCCAGTTGTAATTGCATCCGGTCCAGGGTCTTCAGTCAGCTCAACTTGACTCCCTGCTGTCCTTGAAAGTTGCGGCCATCGGCGGCGTTCCAGTATGCGGAATCCGAGTCTTACATAAGAGCTTGAAGAGAACCGAAGGCCAGAAGAAGACTCGCTGAAACCTCAAAAGGTGCCTGCAACGGCACTGCAGGTCTGCAGCCTGGATGAGCTGTGAGTTGATAGATAAGCGTATCATCAGATTTATCGGGTTGAAAGGTGTGTCTTCCAATCAACAATAGAATGCTTTGAAGCAGACTCCTGCACTTCAATCGTATTAAACATAATCATATATGATATTAAAAGCAACCAAGATCTCATGCACAACCATGTTGAGTTGCAGTTTATTACTTAGCATACATACATTGTGTGGGTGGACAGCAAGATTTGAAGTCACAAGATCCACCCCGTTTGAAAATTTAGAGCAAATTTTGATTCTCCCTTATGCTTGAAGTTGCCATTGCAGTCGATAGATGCCTCGAGCAGCGTATGCGAAGCAAGATAGACCTGGTGACTTCCCTTCATGTGCAGGTTTCCCTCTCGGTCTATCGACGCACAAAGCGCGTTCCTGATCTTGAACCGCTTCAAGTCCTCTATCAGGTTGATCCCGTCACTTTGGCTGCATTTGATGCACTCTGTGCATGACACGCTGAGAAGATTGTTTTGTTGACAGCCTGAAGCTCTTCGACGGAACTCACCCTTCATGTGTGAGCATCTCTCCTTTCGAATCCAGTATCCCATGCTCATTCGTCTTACTAGAATGGGATCTGAGCTCATTCTTTCCAGTGGCTCCTGTATGTGCGGCTGTGGTGTGCTTGTCAAGGTCATCTGTTGCACCCGCCTCCTTGTAAGTAGGAAGATGTAGGACAGTGAAGGACCTTGTGCTGGCAACTCGGAGAGGGTAGAAGAAGCTGTTCAAGTAGGGGAGAGCAGGAGCGCAATGCAGGAGGAGGAAGGAGAACTGAAGAACACAGGGAGTAGGGGAGACAGGATGTTATGGGCCGCGATATTGGCTAGAGGAGCAAAGATCGACGTCAGCATGAGATAGAACACACCGAATTCATTCTTTTTCGTTTGATCCACATGACTTTACTACAGTAATTCCGACCAGTCAAACAATTCGATCCTCATAGGCGGAAAGGGTAGGGTCATTACAAAACAAACCACCGGGTAGTCCTGTGAGGGGTGGGGCCGGTGAGGGTGGGTCACGAGGTCACCACAGTCACGGCTTCTTCGGTCCCACCCTTCCCAACAAGTATAGTTAACACACGTACTTGCGTTTACTCAAAGTTAAGTTAAAAATCAGTACGTGCAAGTTGCGAGTCGACAGGCGGGCCCGCCTTGGGCTCGATCCGCCCCCTCCCTGCTCTTGCTCCTGGGGCTCCCGCAAGCCTTCTGCTACCTGCTGCCCTCCATCCTATCCTTCCCAGCTGCCTATAGTCACCCCGTTGCTCCTTCCTCCCTTCCCTCCTGTACAGTGTCTCGTTCTGCCTGCTTTCCCTTATCCAGCCCTCTCGTGCTCCTTTTCCCAGCCATCACCTGACCCATCCCTTCAAGAATTCCCGTTCTTGCCCTCGTTCTCACCTTCAGCATATTCCTCCCCTCCCCTCTCCACTCTACCAAAACCACTTTGTTTTTCTGTAAGAAAGGCAAGGGATCGTCTTTCTGAGCTCTCGAGTCTTCTAAGCGCTGAGCATTGCGGCACCCTTGTTATCGACCCTATCTGCTATATTTACCATGCGCGATCTCCGAGTTCGAAGCAGAAATCGACGACATTTGTGCAGCTTCCTCTTCCTCCTCCTCTTCATGAATACCCAAGGTTTCCTTGTCACCCCAGCGGTCATCGGCAGACGTTGCAGGAGACCTCAAGGAGACAGGCGGGACATGCATCACTACAAGGGAAAGAGCCGAGAGTCGGATCCTGCCCCTCTTGAGGAGGGCGAGGCTGAGAGGATACGGTCACCTGTGAATGGCAAGTTGATCAAAGTTGGCGGCCCATCGTTTCGCAAGTTGGTAGACATGGGATACACGTATAAGGAAGGGAAGCTGACGAAGAGCGGAGCAGTACGTCGAGAAGCAACTACGGATCCTGTGGTGGCTGAGAAGGGAGCAGGTACGCGTGAAATACCTGGACTGACTGGAGGATATGCCTGATATGCTCCCGGCACGCTAGTAGGTTCCAAGGGTTGGAGGCTCTTGCATGAAGATGATGATGTGAGTATCAGCGTTCCCGTGCGCATGGAATGATATGGCGTGCAGATCCTGGTGGTTGACAAAGCTGAAGGAGTCCTGACGGTGCCCGGGGTGAGGCAAGAGAACAAAGACAGTCTGCTGACGCGCCTGGAGATGGTCGAGGAGAGGCCCGCGTCGTCAGAGCTCTTACTTCCTTCCACAGGCCTACCCCGGTGTCACGTGCGTCCACCGGCTAGACAGGGACACGTCGGGGGTTCTCGTGTTTGCAAGGCACAAAGAGAGTCATCGGAGACTGTACTTGCTCTAGTCGTTGCCTCCCCTCCCTTGCCTTCCTCCACCTCCTCTGGCGGGCGGTTGAGTTGGGTTGTGCGACTCAGCAAGCTCTGCTGATCCTGGTTCTCGGCAGATCCAGGTCGTTCGAGGACAAGCTGGTGACTAAGTTGTACATTGCCATGGTGGAAGGCGTCGTCCCTGCCCCCGTCAGCCCGTCCGACTTGGAGCCGACATGGGGAACTATAGACTATCCTATAGGGAAGGTGAGGAGAAAATAGTGGCTCTGGCAGCTCACTGATCTGAAAATTGTTAGGACGAGGCCTCCCAGATAGACAACAAGTGCTGGGTGAGGAGGATGAAAGTTGACTTCGAGCATGGAAGACCCTGCTTGTCTAGATACAGGTCTTGCTCCTTGCTCCGTCCCCTCCTCACTCAGGCTCCCTCCCACTGCCCCCTTCCAGCTTTCACACACTTGCTTGCCATCCTTCGCTGCCCGTCTGATGTTATTCAAAGGGTCCTGGAGGTCTTGTCAGACCCTCCTCGCACGCTGGTACACACAGAAAGGCAGAGGATGAGGTTTTGAGCTATTTCCAGGTGCTTCTGTTCCCGGTAACGGGCAGGTCGCACCAGCTGCGGGTACACATGAAGGAGTTGGGACATCCTATCCTTGGAGACGAGATCTACGTTGATCCTCCTCCCCCTCCTCTTGTTGTGTTGATTTCATCGGGCAGGGGTCCCAGAGGGTCGTCGACATGTCCGAGACAGCTGGCGCAGGAAAGCGTCTGCTGCTGCACGCTTTTCAGATTTGCTTCAGGTCAGCAAGTCCCCTGCTCCCCAGAGAGGCTGGTTGACACTCTGGTGTCAGGCATCCAAGTACTGACCAGGAGCTGACGTTCCATGCACCATGTCCTTTCGTCCCTGAGATCCAACAACCGTTTGCCATGCCCAGCAAGTCCGTCACTACATGACTGCGACATCCGACCTTTATTGTCACAAACTCAAAAAAATTAGAGGTGCACCGTCAAAAAAAAGGTGAACAGGAACCCGAAGTTCTCCCCATGGTGCTTGTGGCAACTTAAGACTCACCATACTGGTGACTCTGCTGCCCTGGCTGCGCAGGACAAGCTCGCTCTTCCCAACCTCCTTCTTCGCCACACGGAATTTCGTTCGATGGCTCTCCACTGCGCGCAAGGCAGTCAAGGGTGAGCAGGCAGGCAGGCAGTAGCAGCAACCTTGAGCACTCCATGTTCGCTTCTGGCATCTCGTCTCCCATGGAGAAGTCCTCCACGGCTCCAGCAACAGTCGGCCCGTGGGTCTGCCCATGAATCAGCGCCGCGGGTTGATCCAGCATCTGGTCTGTTTGCGCAGTCTGCCAAAGTTCCTTCAGAAACATTGAAATGAAGTTGCCAAGTTTACCGGGTCAACAAAGGAGCCGTCATGGTCTTCATCAGCAGTCCCCACTGGCGTTGTGAGCCTTGGAGCAGCTGCTGGAGCCTCTAACAGCGAAGAGATGATACCATGCTCCGCATCGTAGCGCTCTTTCCATTGTTTGGCATCATCCTGTCACACAGATTTCAGCAAACCGTCGCCCAACAACTTCATCTCAACATGAAGGCACTGCAGGGTCATGTCGTTGGAGAGCTGCTGGTTTTCTCGTGGTTTGACTTCATCGGTTCTGACTCCGTCTGCGAAGGATACGAACCCTCTTATCGGTTTCCCGTCAACCTACCGAGCAAAATCAGCAACATGCGATGAACGAATCGCAGCATGCTACCCATTCTCCCTCCCATCTTGTTCCTTCCGACCAGGTGTACACGCCATAGCCGTTCTTCATGTTGTTGCGGTATTCTCCTTCATATCTCCTCCCATCAGCAAAGGTGTAGACGCCTGCAGGGTAAGGTCACGGCAGCACAATTTTCTGATAAACATCACCATATCCATGCATCTTATCTTCATGGTAAATTCCCTCGTAGCGACTTCCGTTTGCGAAGGTAGTTATCCCCCTCCCTGTGCATTTCCCGTCCAACCATTCGCCCTCATATCTCCTTCCATCGGCCCAAGACATTTTCCCCTTTCCTGTCAGCTGGCCGTCGACGTACTCCCCTTCATATCTGCCTCCACTGGCCCAGGTCTGGATGCCAAATCCATGCTTCTTGTGGTCGCGATATTCGCCTTCGTACATGGCGCCGTCTGGCCAAATGTAAACCCCACGTCCGTGCATTTTATCCATGAGGTAATCTCCTTCATATTTCCTCCCATCAGCGTGCGTTAGAACGCCTTTGCCAGTACATTTTCCATGTTTCCACTCTCCATCATATCGCTTGCCGTCGGCCCAGGTCATCACTCCTCTTCCGGTCAGCGTTCCATCTTTGTACTCACCGACGTATTTGCCGCCTGTTGACCAGATCTGCGTTCCACGCCCATGTTTGCGATTGTGCTGATATTCACCTTCATATCTAGCGCCATCAGCCCATGTGTAAATCCCGTATCCATGCATGGCATCATGAATATACTCTCCCTCATATCTTCTCCCATCCTTGTAGGTTAACACACCTCTGCCATGATATCGATTTTCCAGCCAATCACCCTCATACACCCTTCCGTCTGCCCAATACATGATTCCCTTGCCGGTCTTCTTGTTATCAACCAACATTCCTTCGTATCGGGAGCCATCCTCTTCCTTGACGACATGATGTCCATTGAGAGGAGGAAACGCGTTGCCTCCTTCGTGCTTCCAGGCCTCCTGGTCACTGGTCTTCCACCTGTACCAAGCATGCATCAGCAAGCACACTTCAATGGATCCGAGGGATGACTTACTTCCACGCATCTTCATGCAACTTCTGTAGTGTCTCATCGTTGGACATTCCAGTTCGTGGCTTGACTTTGTCACTCCTTGTTCCATCTGGGAAGATGAGGATTCCGTTGGTCGGTTTGCCATCCGTCCATTGTCCATCAAACTTGACATCATCAGCCCAGGTGTAGACACCATGCCTGAGAATGCCATACATCACAACAATCGCAAGGGAGGGGAGAGGAGCCATCCATACCCGTTTTTCATGTTGTTGCGGTATTCCCCCTCGTACTTTCGACCGTCCGCAAAGGTGTAGATGCCATAGCCATTCATTTTGTCCTCGTGGTAAACGCCAACATAGCGGCTTCCACTCTTGAAGGTTGTAGTTCCGCGTCCGGTACACTTTCCATCCAACCACTCACCCTCATACCGTCGACCATCAGCCCAAGTCATGATACCCATTCCAGTCTGAGTTCCATCGATGTATTGCCCTTCATACCTGACCAAAAATCGTTCATTAGCCAAGAAATCGTCAAACTCACGAAAAACTAAGAATATCACACCTTCCTCCAGTTGGCCATGTCTGCAACCCCCGCCCATGTTTCTTGTGTTCCTTGTATTCCCCTTCGTAGCGAGCACCCTCAGCCCACAAGTAGACGCCTGAGTGTGGCAGACAATGAATCAAAACGGTCGTGAGATTTCAGGCATCTAGAGTTTTCACCTCTTCCATGCATCTTGTCTAGCTTATACTCCCCTTCGTACCTCCGACCGTCTTTGTACGTCAAGACCCCCCGCCCGTTGCAACGGTTTTCCAACCATTCCCCGTCATATCTTCTGCCGTCTGCCCAAATCATAAACCCTCGACCGGTCATCTTATCATCCACCCATTCCCCTTGATACCTGCATCGTGAAGAGTGTCAAAAGAGGGGAAGTCGATGGGAATTCTACAGCAAACAATGAAAAACTTATATGAACACTCACTTGCTTCCATCTCCCCATGTCTTGGTGTGGAAGCCATTCTTCACTTGATTCGTCGCTGCTGCTCCGACGGGCACCAGCGCCAAGTTAGGCGGATTTGCCATCCGCTGTGGTGTGCTATGGGAAACTGTCAGTACTCGTCTGTCAATCCAAAAATATGCAAATGGTTGGTTATAGCTAAGAGCTAAACTCCAGAGAGGATATTCAGGAATCAATGAGATAGACAGCAGGATCGAAACCATGGTGGGAAATAAACAAAAAGAGGAGTTTGATACTAATGACAAATCTTACAGAGGGCAGAACAAAGTGGATCGCATTGGATATGAGTTACTTTGAATGCATAACTGAGTCAGTAATATACTTTCAATCAGATTCAAGACAAATGCTTTCTGTTGGGAAAGGAAGGGACGAATCTCCATGCAACAACACTGAATGCCTCCTCCATCGACAACCATTATGAACAGCTACGAATTGTTACACCTCCCCCTTTACATTTACACGGAAGGAAAATCGCAACGTCAAACATATTCTGCGAACGAATGATAAGAGATGTGTTTTGTTGGTCATGCCGTACACACAACGCTTATCCGTCATACTGAAACTACAGAAATGCTCGAAATGCAGACAGCGACGTGAAGTACTGGGGAGTTGCAGGACATGAAACGGGATAGCAAGAGGCAAGAATGCACTGCAACCTCGTATGGGCACGAGACTAGCAGCATGAAGACAGAAAGCATTTCGTTGAGAGGAGGGGAGCAGCAGTGCTAGCGGCACTGCAGGGCACGAGCCAGGACAGCCCCGGCATGAAGCAGCAGCGGGGATATTGTACAGGGGTGGGTACTAGCAAGAGGAATGTGGGGTAAGGTAGTATAGTACGGTGGGGTGCTAGAGAAGGTAACACAAGGGTCTAGGGAGGGTCCTTTGCGGGTGATTACAGGGGTGGGGGTTACTTGACTGGGGTTATTTTGAAATGAGCACTAAAATTGAGGGGTAGTGGTGAATTGCATCGAATTTATTACCTTGGTTTTGTATTGCAAAATAGCCTAATGGAGGGGTGTTCCCAGAAGGGGTGGTATAGATGGGGTGGTAGGGACCCTGGACATATTTTAGCCATATTGGGAACCCTGGTTCGAGTTGGTAGGGGTACTCAAGTGGTGGACAAGGACGGGTAATGCTAAGAAATGATTTTGAGGGGATGGGGTGGGTAGGGGTCATAAACCTGAGATTTGTTGATGGGAAACTTTTTGTGGTACAAACAGGATTGAAGGGGGTAGTGGTCCTCACATAATTCTTTGGTCAGGAGGGTAGGGTAGTTTTCGGCAGAGCTTGTGGGTATTTGTTTGCTCTCTGTGGAAATCTTGCTTGTTGCGAGGGGGTAGTCTATGAGAAAATGGGGGGTGGTTGGGGGGGTTGAAACAAAGAAATGGGTGGATGGGCTACTGGGGAAAATGGGGGTGGGTAGGGTAGTAAAATGGTCAGAGGCTGGCAATAAGACGGGTGGATGCTAGGAATGAGGAAGGTGCAGGGTCTGTACTTGTTGATGCTGGGGGGTAGGGTAACCAGGGGTTCTTTTAATTCACAGGATATTTTTATTTTATAAAAATATAAAACAAATAAAACTATAAAAGTATCCTGCGAATTAAATTTAGGTCAAACATCTCCCTATAACTACAAAACAACTGTAAAAGGTATTTTTCGATGATTTTAATAATGTTAAAAGGCCAAAAATACCTCCGTTATAAAATTGTGTCGACTCTACCGCCGGCCAAGCCCCGGGCCCGGTCCATCAGCCGGCAGTGACAGGGCCTAGGCCTAAAATATCTTTTACATCTGGCCAAGGGCCATGAGTGAACCGGAGATGATGGGTGACTAGAGACAGGACCCGTCCGTTTTCCTTCTAAACCACAGGTCACACGACCTCTCACTTCTTTACCACCCCCAGGTGGCTCCTCCCCCAAGGGGTGTCTCCTACTTTCAGAGTACCGGTCCTTGATGGGTCAATACGACCCCTAGAACTGTACGTCCTGGACCCTTCCCTACCCTACTTTATGACTCTGCATCACTACCCCTCATTTCGTATTTGATGACCCGGTATTATTACACCACCCCTACCCCGCTTTTAGATTCACTGTACCCTCCACTGCATCTTCATCGTATACAACGTACCCCCTTCACCCGTTGCCCTGACCCCTGCACTACCCCTGGGAATTGAAACTAATATTTCCGCTTCATGTCGATATACCAGTAGTTTTGAATAAAATTTCAATAATTGAACAGTAACATTTCAACTCTTAACAACACAATATCGGCAATGCTTTATTTTCAATGCAAAAAGGGCAAATACCGCAAAAATATACTGATTGTTGTACCGGTTGTATTGAAATGAAAATGACGGGTAGTAGAACACATAAGGAGGAAGGGTCTGAGGGGTAGGTGACGACTGGAAACGGAGGAGGTAGGGTGAGTCATTCTTGAAGCCGCATGGCAATGGTGGGACCGGTGGAGGTGCATAGGTCAGGAGGAGGATGGTGAGGACGAGGAAGAAGATGACGAGGGAGGGCGAGTGATACAGATGAATGAAGAAGAGGAAGAGAGCGAGAAATGAAATGAATCTCTGCTTTTGCTAGTGCCGAATATGAAGGAAATCAAGGTTAGGGTGAACTCGTGAACAAGCGGCTGATGATGGAATTGAAGATTTGCGAGGTTCCAGAGAAGTATTGAGATACGTTGTACGCATCATTTCTGTGTCCTGAAGGGGAAACTTAGGAGAGTTTCTTGTTTTTCAGAGTACACTTGGTATCACTCGCGATCAGTCATCTACGCCGTTTCACGAGAGTGGACTTGAGTACCCTCTCAAGGAAGAGAAGATGAAGTCGGTTGCGTTAGCTGTCTGTTTTCTCTCGTGGGTTCTATATAGACAAGCGATGCGTTGGCTCAGAATCGGGGTGGAGGATCTTTCGAATGACTGCCAACTCTGAATTTTTTTTGTGATATCTATCAAGCGTTGCCCAGAGAGGGAAATGGGGGTGTGAGGGGTGTGAGGCTCTGTGTAAGGATACGAACGTGATGATATACGTAGATCAGCATCACATGTTTGAACTTGATGGAGAGATGAACCCTTCTTTGATGTGACGTTGCGTTCACCAGATCTCTGGATCAGCAAGGAAATAGCAGATTGACCGTGACAAGGATTGATGGTAGCGAGAACAGCAACAGGATCTATGACCGGCGTTCTACAGTATGACAAGGAAACTAGCAAAAGCGACATCAAGAATGGCAAGAGCCAGACGGGAGGGAAGGGAGGGAGCAAGCTGAAGATAATGTCGAGGAACAACCTTCACTTTCTCAGGAAAATCTTTCACGTCGCTGCAGGAGCTATCTTTGCCGGCCTCTATGAATTCGTCCTCTCCAGGGAGCAGGCGCTGCGAGGATTCGGCGTCCTCTTCGTGTTGCTGGCCATCGGCGAGTACGCCCGCGTTCGCTTCGTGGAGCACTGGCTGAGCAAGCTAACGTTCCGGGTCATGAGCCTCCTTGCCCGCAACTACGAGGCCACTCGGCTCAGCGGCATGGTCTTCTTCGTAGCAGGTGTGCTGGCGTGTATCACGTTGTTCCCGAGGAACGTTGCGATCCTCAGCATCCTCTACCTCTCCTTCGGGGACCCCTTTGCGTCCACTTGCGGCATCCGGTACGGCTACCTCGGGCCCAAGTTCAGCAACGGAAAGTCCCTTGTAGGAAGTCTCGGGGGCCTCTTTGCCTGTGCCTTCACTACCACGGTGTACTACCTCTACCACGGCTTTCCTTTCAACGGGTCTCTCCTCCTCGTCTCGCTCTTGGGCGGCATTGCTGGTGAGTCAGGGAGAAAACCTCGTATGCTGCACCGCCTTGCCTTGCCTTGCTTCTTCTCTCGTTCCGCTGCGTATTCGCTCCCACCACGTCTACAGTCTCCTCCTCCTCCTCCTCCTCACGCTCTCTCCAGGAGCCATTCCCGAGACCTTCTGCGGTAGAATACACGAAGGAACCGGGGGACCCATCGACCTTGACGACAACATTGCCGTTCCCGTTGGTTCCGGTTTCATCTTCTTCCTCTTCCTCCAGCTCTTCCCTGCCTACCTCTGAGCCCGCTGACTTGCCGCGTCTGCACCTTGCTGCCCTGTCCCGCAGGGGAGTGGTGATGTACAGGCAAAGTTTTGAAGGCTTACAAACAGCTTGTCGTTTAAACTTCTTGTTCTTTGTCTTAACATTGTGCACACAAGGATGCACATGATGGTTGAGAAGCGGCAGGGGATGAGGAAGCGGGGAGAGAGGAAACAGGGGGAAGGGAGTGGAGAGGGCAGGGAAAGGGATGGAGGGGAGAGGGAGTGGTAGACATGCAACAAGCAGGTGAAGAAGGTCCAGGAAACGTCCAAGGACGTCAGCTGAAGGACACCATTCACAGCTCTTTGTATGATCGCTCCTCGGAGTCACTTCTGTTGAAAGGATTCCTGTCTTGATGTCAGCGCAACTTTCTTGTTCCTCCTCCTCTCCCTCCTCTCCCTCCTCTCCCTCCCCTCTGTTCCTCCTTCCCTCCCTCGTCTCTTCTCCCCTGTCCTCTGGCTAGAATCTCGCCTGGCATGTGAGGTAGGAGAAGCAGCGGAGTTTGCCCTCTTGAAGAGCAGGCTCTGAAGACGCCGACTGAAAGGAATTTCATACTCGAAGGGAACGACTCCTGCCATACCGTCACTAGGAAGCGCATGAGAGACATTGGGGAAGGCGGGAGGGCAGGAGGAAGGAAGACGAAGGGGTGCGGGAAGAGAGACAACGACAAGAGGAGGAGGAGAGTCAAGGGGGAGCCGGGGGAGGCTTCGGGGAGGATAGAGACCGGAGCAGTTTTCTTCCAGGAAGGAGACCATGGGAAACCATCTCCTTGTGCTCGCGAGACCCTCGTTGTCCGAAACATCCTGCAAGTTGATATTCAGTTCCTCCTCCCTCTCTTTCTCCCTCCCCTTCTTCGCGCCCTCCCTCGCTCCCGCTCTTTCTTGCTCCCTTCCTCACTCCCTTCCTCCTTCTTCCTTCCCTTCCTCTCGCACTCGCTCGCTCGCTCGCCATCTTTCCGTCATCTCCTCCCATGTCTCCTACCGCATGCGCTACTGTGTGGTACGACTGAAAGGTCCTGGTGGCGATGTAGAAGCCCATGAACACGTCGAGGGTGTAATGCTCGTGGGCGGCCTGACAGATGTGAGGAAGTAGGAAGAAGAACGAATGCAGGAGCGAGGGGAAGTAGGAGGAGAAGCAAGAAAGATGGGAGGGGGGATGGGGAGCGGAGGGTTGGAAGGCCCAGGGGAAGCAAGGTTGATGAGCTTGGACAAGGAGAGAAGGAAACGAAAGGGGAGGATGAGAAAGCAAAAGATGCTTACAAGGATGCAAAACATGCCGAACCTGCAAAAACAAAGACACTCAAGGCAACAACCTCCGAACCAAGTAAACAGAAGGACTTTTGCTGGTTGACGGGACAGGTAGAGAACAGCACCAGACGATAAGAAGAGAAGAACGGGAAATAAGAAAACAAGAAGAGAAGAGGAACGGGAGATGATCAGTTGAGAAGAGAGGAACATCGGGAGATAGGAGGAGGCGATTGCTGACCCGTTGAGAACTGCAGAGAAGGTGTGGAGGGGAGTCCAGGTACGAGGGGAGTAGGCGCAGACAAAGCGATTGAGGATCGTGAGCATTGCGGTATGCCCGCTGAACATGTAGTCGCCGCATGTGCGGGTCCCCTGCACAAGGTGAGAGGCGGAGGAGGTGGAGGAGGAAGTGGTGGTCGAGGAGGAAGTGGAGGAAGTGGGAGCGAGAACGGAGGGAGAACAGGAAAGGAGATGACAAGGGAATAGGAGGACGGGGGAGTAGGCGAGGGGAGTGAAGAGAGTGAAAATGTTACTTGCAACGTGGATCCAAAAGTGGACGCGATCTGAATCAAACAGTATCAGTGAGGACGAGGCAGGCGAGAGGCTGGTAGGAGCAAACTGAAAGCTCGGCAGATAACAGGCGAAGAGATGGAGAGGAGGAGGAGGAGGAAGGGCGGAGGAGGGAGGCGGAGGAGGAGACAAGAGGAAGGAGGAAGGAAGGAGGAGGGAGGCGAGGCAGGAGGGAAGAGAAGTGCTGAGAAACCGGAGCGTTGATCATACCTGTGTACATGAAAGATGCACGTAAGGGCGAAGATCGACGCCAAAAGGATGATGCAAACTTCAGAAGCCTGCAAAGAACGCATCACACTGCTGTAAAGTTCATCAATCCACTCCTCCTCCTCCTCCTCCTCCTCCTCATCATCATCATCATCATCATCGTCAATCCGAAGAGTTTCTTCTCCATTCCCAAAGCTTCTTACCTCAAAGGCTCCTGGAATCACAGGAATATTGTCCAGCACAACATCAGGAAGGGGAGGATGCTGCTTCAACTGTTAGATCTCCTACACCGATCCCTCCCCGGTCCCTCCCCCCTTCTGCCCTTCGCCCTCCTTCTCCCCATCGTGCACCTCCTCCTCTTCCTCCTCCATCTCTAACCTTGCCATATCCGGAACACGATCATGTACGAATGTCATCACACTTGCTGTCGCCATCATTACGAAGGCCGCCCACGTCAAGCTGCAAACTCCCTTATTCCCCCCTGTTTCCTCCTCCTCCCCCCCCCCCCCCCCCTCCCCATCCCCCTCCATCCTCCTCCTCCACCTTTCCCTCCTCCTCCTCTACCTGCATCCTAGACGGAGGAGCGCTGATGACAGCGGCTCAGGCTGCAAACCCAACCCAACATCAGCATCCCCTCCCTTCCTGCATGCCAACAACCTTGTACAACGAAGCGACGAAGGCGCTGGTAGCAGACTTGCTCCTCCTATCCTGCGGCTGATCATGGAGGAGGTTCAGAGTCTGACGATGCTGATCCACAAGCTCTCGTATGCTTAGGACGAACTGCCGCACCCTCCCGAACTTGTCTACTCTTGCCTCCTGCTCACAAACAAGCTCCTCAGCGGAAGCGCGGCAGGAGCGCAGTGCTAGAACCTTGAGGGCAGAAGCTAGAGGGTCCACACGAAGGTCTTCCTCCTGTATGGAGAGGAGTACGGCCCCTGTGATGATATGATCCCTAGCGATGGCCACGAACTCATGCAGCCCTTCCTCTTGTAACCAAGCGCACACCTCGTCCACTCCCCACTGAGGGAACCGTTAGGAAACTTCGAATCATACCAAGTGCCGGAGGACATTGCTGAAAAAAAAAGAGAAGGGGATAGGGAGAGAGGACAGGAGGAAGGGGAAGGAGGAGGAAATGGAAAGGTGATTGGCAGGAAGGAGAAGGGGGAGAAAAGAAGCAGGACAGGGAAGGGAGAAGGGAGAAAGATCAAGAGAGGAGGAAAGAGGGAGGAGGAGGGGGGGGGGTTCAGGGTGTGACCTCTTGCGGAGAAACTCTCATGGTCTCGTGTGACAAAGTCTTGGGCGAAGAGGTGTAGGGCTTGGACAATGCTGAGCTGAGCGACTCGATCCTGCATGCTGTGTTCTTCCACATCGCTGAAGGATTGCAATCCGCAAACTTGGAGAAGACTCGCTCTCGCAGCTTGCTTCCCTCTCCCTGCATGCTTTTGCCCCTAGTACATCTCTTCGTTCAATCCTGCAGCAACTCGACTATCAGTTGGCACACCCACTTGTATTCGAACTCGGTCTTGACTCTTCACGCGGATGTTCGTTGTCTTCCCTTTTCATGTGTCCGCCTCTGCTCCTTCTCCCTCCAACCCTGCGAACCTTGCTGCTGAACTACTGAACAACGACGAGCACATCCAACAAAACAAGCTACTCGATCGCTTCGTCCTCTCAATCTTAATCTTATCCCTCGGCACTAGTCGACAAGCTGTAGATGGGGTTCTTCTTCCTCCGCTGCATCTCCATCTTGTCTAGATCCTCCCCGCTCCACCTCTCCCGAGACCGCTACCACCATGTCGTTCCTCCTATCATCCATCATTATTATGCCTTCAAAACGTGGACCGGTGGTTTCTACTATTGTTTGCGGAAGAGCAATAAGGTGGGTACTCCTTCCTCGACCTAGAGGCGTACCGTACCAGGCCCCGGACACACCGGGTGACTGCCCGGGGCCGCCCGGCGGCCCGGCGGCCGCGCTAGCGGCTGGCATCCGAGGCATTGGGCGGTGGTGGCCGCCGTGGGGTCGCGGCCGCATGCCAGGCGCGGCATGGGCCCGCTGGACTCGGACTGAGCCCGGCGGACTCAGGCATAACTTAGTGACTTAGCCTAGTAATCGGAATGAGGCAACGATCAGGACCGCACTGCCGCAGTGTCAGGAACTTCGGAGCCGGGCTGCCCGGCCAGCTGAGCCGGAGTCCCCGTATCCCTGGCTCAATCGGCGTAACTAGAAGGAGCGAGGGTACGTGAGTCTACAGGGGTGGTGAAATACCCGGTTATTTGAAACATTTCGACCGTCTAAATTGAGGGTGGGGTGAAGGAATAGGAGGAAAACACACATGGGTAGGGTGATTTTACAACGGTTTGTAACGACCAGATCCTTCCTTGAATTACCACAATGTCCGAAAAATTTGAATCTATCCCCAATTATATTAGATAGTATCCAAATTTCTCGGGAAAATTGTTGGAAATTTTCAAAATTTATTGTGCGCTGAACTAATTCATCAAATTGCAAAGCCTGCACCGAATAGTTTCAGATGTCCGTTTGTCTCAGTGGCGGGTTCCACCACCCCACCCTTCAAAAATTAGTACCCTACCCACACTGTCCTATACCCCGCAACCTTCAGATCCGGAAACGTCTTGTACCCGTCCAATAACGTACAAATATACCCACTTTCAACAGGTCGAGTACCGGTCCGAAGAAGTACGACTGCACCACGGGTGGAAGTGCCACCCCACCTGGACAAGCACCACGAGCTATACCACCACCCGGAGAGATGACCTACCCCACCCTAACTAGTCTCATGGAAAAAAGGGGGTCCTCTCTGAGAAGCTTCCTTGACATGGCGCCCACGCCGAATAAGCGGAGCAAATCCTCCTCCTCCTCCTCCCCCAGTGGGCGAGGCGCAGCCTCCCCCAGGAAGCCGAGAACACCCGCCAAGACCTCCTCCCCCAAGACTCCGAGGAGGTCTCGATCGACCGCTAAATCCCCTGCAAGATCCCCGTCCGCACAGAAGAAGTCGACGGGACGCTCCCCCGCGCGCAGGAGCAGCAGGGAGAGATCGAGCAACGGGAGGGCGTCCAGGTCTCAGGAAACGAAAGGGAGAATGCAGCGGGTCGAGAAGATCTCGCTCTTAACTCATCCTGTGAAGACCCTGTACCACTTCAACTGTGTTGTGCTAGAGTTCTTTCGGCAGCCCTTTCGATGGCTCACAGAAGAGCAACACCGCGGAACACTGCTCGGGCTTGTTTCCGCCATCCTCATCACGATATCCCTCTTCTACATTGAAGGCCCGCATCAACCTGTCCTCCAGAGGGTGAGGCATAACGTTCTGTACGTTGTGTGGTGGTTTGGACTGGGGGTGCTCTCCTCGGTCGGGTTAGGAACGGGAGCGCACACAGGTTGTTTCTGACATCTTCTGATCTGATGATTGTGCTGACTGAGCACATTTTCAACCTGATCCGTTTCTCCTCCTCTTTGCCCTTCCTTCCTTTCCGTCCTCCGTGCCCGCCAGGCTCCCTGTACCTTTTCCCCCACATCTGTGCGGTGGTAAGAACAGCAGAGAGCAGGAAAGCTTTGGATTTCGATCCGAGGTCATGAGACTTGTGTGCTAGTATCTTCTCCTCTGACCTCGCACCGGCAGTTACAACATGCTCAAGATCACTCCGGCTCTTTCCAACGCGTTCGAGATCCCCCCAGGTCCCCCAGCACCTGGAGCCACTCCGCCGACGATGTACAACATCTACATGTCGTTGCTCTTCCCGGTGTGTGCTTGTGCTCTTGTTCTCGCCACCAACACCTTGCCAACTCCATCCTCGCTCACCTTGTCGTCAGGTGATCGTCTGGGGGGTCGGGACGGCCCTGGGTGAGCTTCCGCCGTATCTCATAGCATATGGGCATGCAAAAGCAGGTGCGGCAGGAGAGGCGGAGGAAAGGCATTCTGACGTTGAAGGGAACAGGAGAGAAGGACGAGGAGTACGATGAGATCATGGACTCCATAGCAGACTCCGACGAGGACTCGGCAAGCCTGTGGTCGATAGCTGTAAAGACCTTCAAGTGGACTGAGAGATGGATGGTGGAGTTCTTGAGGCACAATGGGTTCTGGGGAGTGCTCCTCTTCTCCTCATACCCCAATGCGATGTTTGACATGTGCGGGTTGTGCTGCGGTCACTCGATGATGCCCATGTGGGAGTTCCTCCTTGCCACCACCATCGGCAAAGGTTTCATCAAGGCACCGATGCAGGAGCTGCTGTTTGTTTGGATCTTCTCCCACACAGGACGAGACGAGGTCATGGCAATCGCCAAGCGCGTCCTCCACATCCTCCGTTGGTTTGTTGGCATCCCCATCGCATCTTGCTTCTTCTACCTGAGCATGCGCACCCGCAAGATGCCCAGGATGATGTTGATCCCGCTGGTCACGTTTGTCCTCGGCATCTTGTTGGTTCTCATCACCATCGTCTCTGAGTTCCAAGAGCACTTCAACGTCGTGCAGAAGATGGAGGAGGGCTTTGACAAGGTGTTGGCGTTCTGCGACAAGACCAAGCCGCAGGTTCGTGGAATTTACTTGTGCTGTTGAGAGCACTGACAGCGAATGTTCACCAGACTGAAGTCAAGGGGTTGTCTTCTTATTTCACTGCTAAGTCGTTCTTCAACTACTTTGTCACCGGCCTCATTCTCTACTTCGTGAGATTTTCTCTCCTCCTCCTCCTCCTCCTCCTGAAGACTTACCGGGCCCGCCAGGTGATGGACGTTATCAACAACCTCGCGCAGGGACACGCTAAGGAGGAGGTACAACCAGCCGTTGGGCCCCACCGGTTGCTGACACTTCCTGTAAGGCTAAGAAGATCAAGTCTTCATGAGCATCCTCTCAACTTTGCAGGGGTTACGAGACGGGCAGAGAGTCAAGGGAAATTTTGTAGTCAACGAGGGCAGAGGGAAATGCTGGCCTTGAGGGACCAGTGCAACTTGACACCATTGGAGGATCGTTGCTGCGGCTTCTTGAGCTAGCTTCTGGGTCGTGCGGATTGTACAGGAGGACGGACAACAGTGGGAGCGACAGATGGCTCTCTTTCAATGTGTCATCTTACCATGAATATGCTGATTCTTTCCAGATGCCCTCTCCATTCCTCCCCGCCCCCTGCTCCCTCCCCCGAGCATATCTCTGCTCTGCTAGCTCGCCCTTCCCCAACCTGTTGCTCTGCCGACACAGTAGCCGTGCGTCTCATCCTCGACCTGGCACTCGATCTGTTCGACCTGCCTCTTCCCTCACTTGTGTTTCCCACCATCCCATGGACATCACCTGCCCCTCCTCGACCGCACGGCGCCAAGTGCTTGTTGGCTCCACACAGTTCCAGCCAGGACATCCCACGTCGTCCATCCAGAGGAGAGAAGGTCCGCTAAGAGCCCTGCGTGGGAGCGTGAGGTCTGCAGCGGGAGGCGTGAGCGAGACGTGAGAGCGTTGCGGAGGTCAAGGGCAGGAGCAGGAGGCTTGTGGTCGCCGTCGACTCTGAACCTGAGAGCAAGCAAGAGGGTGTGAGAGTGGAGCAAGCAGGGAGGACTCAGACAGGTTGCAGCTGAGCGAATCAGTCCTGGTCAGCTCAGGGAGGATCTTCAAGGAATCTCCGTAGTGAAGCTGGAACCTGCTCCCAGAGGGGATGAACAAGATGGAGGAGAGGAGGGGAAAGGCATGGTCATCACCTGTCATGGAACAATGCTCGGACAGCCTGCCGATGCTTGTAAGGAAGAGGGGACAGGAAGGAGAGGACGAAAAGGAGAAGCATGAGAAGCTCTAGCTGGAGAAGCAGGAGGAGGAGAAACATTAGGGGGGGGAGCACAAAGTGAGAATGGGAGGAGCAGGTGAAGAAGCAAGAAAAGGTGGTGATGGTGGTGGAGGAGGAGGTCACCGAGTGGTGGAGGAGGTGGAGGAGGTGGTGGTGGTGGAGGAGGAGGTGGTGGAGTTGGTGGAGGTGGAACAGAAGCAGGAGAGGGAAAGACGTCGCTGCATCACTTTCTCCGCAGTCGCCACCCAGCACTCCTCGCTGATCTCCTTCAACGCTTTTGAGGTTCAACACAGACAAGACAAAAGACCGACCACAGACAAGAGGCTGACATGCGAAGCTCCCAAAAGTATCTCCAGGGAAACATCAGAGAGCGTCGACTTGACAAGGGAGGAGCATTACAGCACAGGCAGAATGCCCCAAGTTGAATCCAATGTAGCACACTCCAGCGAAAACCCAAGCCAGTTGACGAATCAACAAGCGAGGACCTGTCCCGCCACGACCGATAGGATGACGCAGAATGGAGGGAGGACAGGAGCTGGGAGGACAGGAGGGCGGAGGACACGAGGGCGGAGGAGAGGAGGGCGGAGGAGAGGAGGGCGGAGGAGAGGAGGGCGGAGGAGAGGAGGGCGGAGGAGAGGAGGTCGGAGGAGGGAAGGGAAAGAAGGAAAGTATTGTGGGAGGAGGAGAGCGGAGCAAAAAAAGAAGGGAAGAGGAGGGGGACGTTGAAGGGTGAGATATCTGACTGCAGACGAAGCGCTTCCTGTGTCGTTATCCTCCCATGCTCGCCCTGCTTTCTCCCACTGGAAGACGCAAGGATGCTCAACTTCTCCCAGACTGCCAGCAGCACAGACTTGCGCAAGAGTGAGTCGACTTGTATCAGGATGTTTCCTGCGCCACTCTCCTCATCCGCATCCTCCTCGTCTTGGTCCTCCACCCCCTCCCTCTCGCTCATTGACTGTTCCAGCAGAGCATGGACGGGGCCTCGAAACACCTTGACCCTGCTCGTCACTGTCCTCGTACACTCGGCAGCTCGTCACCTGAGACATTGAGCTGGCAAAGCTTGCATGATACTGCGGCGTGCCGGGACTCCCGACCAGCTCGCCGTAGAGGGCCCTGCAGCTTCTGAAAGGATCGCTGCTGCCTTCTGGCTTGCCTTGTGTGCGCCCCTGAGCCTTGGGAGAGTGTCTGGAGCCGTGCGACTTGGTCTTGTTGACAAGGTAGAGGTAGGAGAAAGAGAGGATGGCGATGAGCATGGCAGCATAGAGAACCGCTCTCCGCGCCTCCTTGTACGCTCTTCTCTTGGTGGAGGTGGAGGTCGAGCGCCTAGAGCCAGAAATGAGCCAGACAGAAATCAACGAGTGAGAGAGAGCGACGGAGACATGGAGGAACGGGGGAGGGGGAGGGGGG